TGTTATTAGTAGAATTCAAGTTGGATGATTGTAAGTGGAGGAATGCATCGGGATTATTGTGTGATAGAAAAGTTCGGCTCAAACTTAAGGGAAAATTCTATAAGATCGTGGTTAGACTTGCAATGCTTCATGGTGCAGAATGTTGATCATTAAAAGAGAATCATAATATTAATTTAAGTGTTGCAGAGATAAAGATGCTTAGGTGGTTGAGTGTTTAGTCTTAGAGACATGATACGAAATGAGCATATACGTGAAAAGGTTGAAGTAGCTCCATTGGAAGATAAGATTAGAGAGTAGCCTTAGATGGTTTGGTCACATAAAACGGCAGAGCCTTCCAATGACCTAGTTAGGAAACTAGATGTTTTAGATTTGACTTATGTTAAGAAAGGTAGAGGTAGACCTACAAAGACTTGGTTAGAAAATATTAGAAATGACATTTCTTTATTAGATTTAAATGAGAATTCAACTCTTAGCAAGACACAATATATAAAAAGAATTCATGTAGCTGACCATATAGAGGGATAGAGGCTTGATGTTGTTGTAGTTTCTATCCTCTAACCCCTTTTTCCTTCCCAATTCTTCAACAATAATGTCATCTACTCATCAAGTTGGGTTTTTTTTTTTTTTCAATTGTTACAGATCCAAACCACATAAATGCACTTTCACTGCCTCATCTTCAGTAAGTATTTTACCCACAGTTCATTTAATATAATCATGATGCTGTGTGAAGTGTTCATAAATAAATGAAGTGTCATTTATTGCTGCTTGCGGATGATGGTAGGCGGATTCCAGGTTTCTGTTTCATATTTTTGCAAAATTTTATTGATACTACCTGCGGATATGTGGGATGTGAGGTGGATAGGAGCAATGAATTGCTTTTGATCTTTCAATTTTGAATTGGATGGTGAAAGGATCCGCAATCCAATGGTTGGAGAAGACTATTTCTTCAAGGTCATAAGTTCAAGTCACACACTTCACTATTTACCATCCAACAACAACAAATGACAACATCAAGCCCTTATCATACTACTACCTAAGGTTGACTACATGAATCTTTTTTCTCCATTATATCATATTAATGGTAAAATTCTAATTTAAATCTAATAAAAAATCAATTATAATACTTTCTAACCAAGTTTATTAAGGTCTACCTCAACCTTTCTTAACATAAACCGGATCTAATACATCTACACTTCTAACCATGTCTTCGGAATGCGTTTTATGTGATCAAACCATCTATTGGCAACTCTCTCAAATCTTATCTGCCACTGGAGCTACTCCAACCTTTTCACGTGTATAACTGTTTCACATTTTGTCTCTTAGCATAAAGTCACTCATCTACCTGAGCATTTTGATATCCACAACACTTAATTTTATGTTTCTCTTTTAATGACTAGCATTTTGGTTCATAAAGCATTGCAGGTCTCACCTTGGAGACTATTTATCCACGGTCATTTATATTTACCAGCCATCATTCCCAAAAAAAACCATTAAATTAGATGGAGTTTAGCATCTTTTGGGAATTTTAAAAATAAAAGGGTTAATCTAAATTTAAATTGAACTAGATCCTTTGCCAAACCTAAATTATGAAGTTTATAAATTGTGGTCCAAAGCATGCAATTCACAACCTATGATGAATAATTAAATATTAAGATATTTCATGTGTATGTTCTATATGTCATAAAGTAGTCATTTTTTATGTTGCTTGATCATTATTATAATGTTTAATTAAAAATTATATAATTTTATTATCTATTATGCCATTACGGTTCAACCATCAGTTAAATTCTGCTTAAATACTTGAACTTAAGCCTTTCCTTTTTTCAATTCATATTCAGTCCGGTTTTTAGAACCTAGGATACAATATTTTTATTTTATTTCTGCAAAACCTTTGTCATTCTAGATTTAGAAAATACCTTCATTCACTAAACAAGCCTGCGGCTGAACAACAAGCTGACTCATAGCCCATCAAATCTAGAGCTACAGCCAAGCCCCTTTAACTAACCAAGCTAGTCAGCTCACCTACACCCCTAATTAAGTCAAATATGTTCTAAATAAGTAATTCTTGGCCAGCAGTTGTAATGGTTAATGCAGAAGCATGCACCAAACCCTTATCATACTTACGTGAAAGTAAATTTGAAGTAATAAGCTAGTCGTGATTAATTTAAGAAATACTAATGAACTTGAAAGCCCAAAATAAGTGCGGTTATTAGGTTTTAACATACCAGTAGGTATGCCAAGTACCTTTGACCCACGACCAAAACCCTTTACAACAGGTCCTCCAATATACCAAGGTTCCATTGGCAGAGTATCTTCAATCCCTGGCATTCAATAACAATGGATCACCATGAAACAGATGGTAATTGAAATATATAACGTGGATGTAGGTGAAACGGATATCAGGATTGAAGAAGCATACAATCATCGAATGGAGGCAACCCCCACTTTTCAGGATGCAAATCAAGCAGAGAATTGATCACCTCGTCGGCTGAGTTGCAAAGATCGGCATGTTTAGGAAGTGATGGTGCAGCAACCACTACCATTCCGGCAGCCTTCCCAGCCATAACACCTGGTCTAACACAAGTAAAAGCATATTTAAGATAGAGTAAATATATTCAGCTAAATCTAGACCAGAAATCGTGAACCCTTATAACCACCCCTAAAGCTTTGAAATGTGAATGCCCGGTACCCTTCTCTTCCCCATCATTTTAAGAAGGTGAACAAATATGAAGTAAGATTAGATTTCCACTATATACAAACAAGCTATTATCTGTAACGGATGAAACTTTTGGATATATATTAACTTGATTTATATGAAACCCGACATGGAAGATCTAGATCAACTTAATGCAAAAATTATGACATTTGAATTGCATAACAAATGAGATTTTTTTCCACCTTATTATGTCTCAAATAATGCAAAGCACTCGAGAAATATCAGTAAAGCTAGACAAGAAGACGTAGCAACAATGAAAACTTTTATGCAACTGAAGCATCTATTTTCTCAAACAAACTTAAGAGATCTGCAATACAATCATCGTTGCTAGAGAGACTAAATGTTGTTTAAATAAACAAACATACTAAGTTAATGGTGCCGCTTTTCAATTGTTGTAAAATCCCACTTCCATTTACATGACTTATCAATTAACTATGCTAGAGGATTAATTCAAGATTCCAAGCTAGTCAAGGCCCATAAGAACACTTTGCTATAGGCAACTTGTTTAAGCCGGTTTTCTCACCCATGCGAAGCTTCCACTTTTTGTTTGCTACTAGACAGACCCCCTTTCACCAAGCTCACTGGTCGCTGCCGCTCTAACTCTGAACTCAAAGACAAACCATAATTAACGCAGCAAGGAATCTACTACACAATTCTTTCCTGGAAACTAGACCTAAGAGAGTACTCCCATAACCAAACCCCCATCATCTTTCTCTTCATAAAGGAGGACTCATTCACTAGGGGATTCACCTATATTGCACTGTTGCTTCCTAGAAGAACAATATACAGATTCATCCAAATAATGTGGTCTTATCCATAAGCATGTAAGTATGCTTATATGCTATTTTTTAATCCTTCAAGTCTGCAAGTATTCTAAAAAGTCTTAGATAAAAACTATAAACGTATATTGATATGGACATCAAATTTCTTCTACTAATGATGTTAAGTATTGGAGACTTATAATCGGCTTTTCAGTTGAACCACCACGTGCACTTTGTAGTGAAATGAATCATGCTAACTCAGAAAATAAAATGTTGAAACTAAGGAATGAAATATTTCAGAAAATTATTGTTTCATGAACTTTCCAAGCTTTCAACCAAACTGAAATTCCTACTTAAGGAGTGATGATTAAAGCACATGTCAGCATTTACAAAATACTGATGTAACCAAATCTATTCAAACTATTGTAGTAAACAAAATATGTCAGTACATGATGCAGAGTTCGTGAAAGAAGTTATAAGATTAGCAAATACTTACGATGAATCCTCAATAACCAGGCAATTCGAAGGATCAACTTTCATCCTTCTTGCTGCTTCAAGGAAACTAAAGAACAAATAATTTAGTTAAGTATAATTGAAATTACAAATAATGCAAGATTTCGTTAATGTTCTTACACATCAGGTGATGGTTTTCCATTTTTTACTTCATTACCACCAACAATGGTGCAAAATGAGTCCGCCCATCCTAATTATTGAAATAAGAAACCAAAAGCTAAATATCACAAAAATAGGATAAATTATAGCAAAGCTTTGGTAATTGTTTATGTCGTCAAAAAGTTTAAAAAAGAGGCTTCCATAAATTATATTACCATGGTGATATGAAATTTTAGCTTCTATGTTTAGTCTGGGAGAGTTTGAAGCCAACCCAAATGGCACTCCTTTAGACTTTAGATGCCTAATTAATCGATTAGCACCTGGAAGTGCTTTAATATTGCACCACCTGTAATGATCAAATGTGTTGCTTTGAGACATGATGGTTAAAGCCAAAGGAAATAACAGTTTCAGGACATGTTCATACTTGTGCATGCATAGATTTAGTAATCAACAAACTTTTATTAAAGAATTGTCAAATCTAATTTGTAAAAGAAAAATACTAGAAGAATGCAAATTAGCTTTATTATTCAGATTCTACAACTGGGAGGACTCTACAAATTTCTTAAAGCAAATGTTGTGTACGAGCAAAAGGTGATCCCATGTTTTTAGTTCATTGAAAGGGCCTATAATACACCGGGACAGTGTTCTGTAGTTCGTGCATTGTTAGTCAAATAAAAAAATTACCATTTAAAACAGCTTGATGGATAGCATCAACAAAAGCTACCTCAATGTCTCTAAAAATATGAAAACTAAAAATTATAAAAAAAAGACCTTGATAACTCAGTCAAAGAGAATCTCAACCTTATATTTGAAAAATCAATTTCAACCAATCACGCCAAAATTTAATAATTTTATTAAACTTTCTTTCTAAAATATGTTGATTCAGATGATATTTACTAACAAACCAAGGTGATCCACATATGCTTGTTTTAATTTTTTTTGAAAATGTAAGAAAAAATTTTCAGTTTTAAATTTTTGTAATTTTCCATGTACTATTTGCCAGTCATCATAATTATTGTTATCAATTTTATTATAGGCATGATAAATTTTAGTATAACTACAAGGATTTTAATAAATATTTGGTAAAAGATATTATATAAGGAAATAGATCTAAAATCAGAGATATTGTTGTTAAGATAGATCTCAAGAATAAGAGTAATCCCATTGGCCTTTACTTGTTTGGAGAAATAAGATTTGAAAAAGTATTTGATAGCCTCATAAACATAAAAACCTACAACATCCCAGCATGAAGTACAAAAATCAAAAGCGTACCTGTCATGACTTGAGGCAAAAAATTTAGATGAAGAACAACCACCCTCCTTAATCTCAATAACAAAAGCAATGAGCAAAGAGGCAAGATGATATGGAATGCAGCTACTATTAGGTGACAGCAAGGCCTAAAAAAAATTAAGTTTGGTGAGTTGAAGAGATATTTATTGTAATTTAAAACAGCATTAGTAATCCCAGAATGATATGAGAAAGTGCCTATATTAGTGCAAGGTTCTCTAAATATGTTTTTTCTTTCCTCTGATTCTCCCATTAAAAAAAATTTAAATCATCTTCACCATTTTTAAGCCATTTTGATTTGCCTCTCTAAATAATCTAAGAGAACCAAGCACCATAAACTTTTGAGAGAAGTTGAGCAATTTGTTGAGCATTTACATACAAATGGGGATTAATGTGATATTGGTTTAGAAGGTTAAAACTAGGGATGTCAAAATGATTTTTCAAGTCGGGCTCGGGTCCAACCCAAAACTAACCCGCTTCAAATGACCCAACTCGATTAACTGAATGGGTCATAAACTCAAACCCAAACCAGACCCGCCTCATATCCAATTTGGCCGACCCAACCCGTTGACCCAATTGAGAGCAAGCGGGTGACCAAGCAGGCGAGCGCAATTGGTGGGGCCAGCATATGCGAGGGCGAGCGCGACGTGAGCGGGCTAGCAGGCACTTGCGGGCGAGCACAGCTGGTGAATCCAGCGCTAGCGCGCCCGACGAACTAGTTTCAGGTTAATTCCAAGTTGCTTTCGGGTTCTCGAGTTGACCCGAACCCTACCCGAAATTGCAATCATGAAAGACAAACCAATAAATAAATATCATTTAGCATTTTTAATAACAATTTTATGTTTATGAAGCTTATTATAAAAGATGTGCTTGGGACTACATAATTTTCCCGGTTCCCGCAAAAAATAAAGTATAGAGTATCCCACTGAAATTTTAGAACAGTAATCTTTTAGATGAATCTGCATCTCTTAATATTTTAATATTGAGTATGGATGATCAATGATGAGTGATCAGAATACTTGAGATTGTCAACTTTGTACTAGGATAAAAAAAAAGATCCACCAATCATAATTAACAAGAATCCTATCTAATTTGAAATTAACACAGTTATCAACTTTATTATTAAACCAAATGAAATTAAACCCACTAAACTTAAGTTTAAATGCATGAGTTAAATATTATGTTATTAAACTTGCATAATTTACTAATATAGATAGTGTTACCAACAAATTTTTCATCAATCTTCTTGCAATAGACAAAATAACCCAAAATTGGTCAAGGCTAATAAGTTTGAGCCTCAATTTTTTTAGTCACAGTCAAAGAATAGTCCTATTAGGAGCATTTGCAACATAAATAACAGAAAGAAGGAAAAATGGTGTTATTACAATAATTGATTTCCCCATGAAAATTTTGACTATTCATATAAATGGGCTTAAAGAAGACTTTTCCTGTATTTCACTTTAAGTCAAATTCTACCAGGCTGAAAAGTTTATAAGAGTTACAAAATCATGGGTTCAGACTTTTGAGATATGCTAATTTTTGCCACCAAAATATAAAAGAGTTAGAAGGTTCTAAAATGAATAATATCTTATTATAAATAAGGACATTGTCCAATCAATGGAAGACTCACATCCCGAGAGGCAAAGTTAGGATAACTCATTGATGTTTGTAGAGATGGTGACTAAATTTTTTATTTCCTTTTTTGTAAACGAGATTTACAACAAATAAGCAATTACTTCATGAGAGAGGCAGTGATGAGGACATCCATAGGGGATTTCGACACACCTACAATCGGAGGGGTCGTCGAGCGACGGCCACGATTCATAGTCTTTATTTCTGATGTTTTATTTTATTCATGTCATTTATATTTTATGTTTTCCATTTGTACCCCTATGAGGAAGTTATTGCATGTTGTAGCCCAAGGACAATTTCGTCTTTATGGTTTTTTTTATTTTTCGGATGGCCTATATATAGGCTTAGTCATTGTATTTGGAGTTAGTTTTTGATGAATGAAAAATTTGCTCATATGTTCTCTTTGTGAGTTCTTCCCTCCTAGATCTCTTAGTGAGTTCACCGGAGAAGATAGATCTCTTTGTGAGTTCTATATTTTTCGTTCAAGCTGTTGTTGAGGAAATTCGGATTGAAGATAATTGAGGTGAGTGAATTCGTGGCCACTTGAATCCCTAAGAAATTTCCCTTCCTCCTTCCCCTTGCTCCTTGCCGCCGCCTCTCCTTGAGCCGTCCAGGCCGCTGGCCCCCTGGCAGCCATCTCCTGCCGGCCGACCAACCCGCCCCCTTGGCCCCATCCCTCTTCTAGCCGCCAACCTCCCTCCATGGGATTTGAAATTTCAAATTTCAAATCTTCCCGTGAAACATAATTGACTTTCCTAAATTAAATCCTTGATTTTAGGCAATCTTCTTAATTGTATTTCAATCCCAATTTGAAATTCAAATTAAGTCAATTGATTGTCATACTTTAGGAAACTTTTGTCATATATGAAACCTGAAATTTCAATCCAGATTTTTGATTAAATCTGCTTTAATTATGTGGGCCCCATTTTATTTAATACCAAGCCCCTCTCTCTCTCTCCATATGGTCGGCCACCTCACCCTTATTGCTTCTCTCTCTAATTACCACCTCATCACCACTTAAACACCTCTTTAATGCCTCCCTCTCACATATTTAATTTCAGATTTCACAGATTTTAATTTCAGATTTCAAAATCTAAAATTTGAAATTGATTCTCCCCTCCTTTTTAGTTAGAATCTGAAATTAAGTTTCAGATTTATTCTCTCCACTAAATAACCTCACCCTCTCCCCTCTCTCTCTCCCAAACCGTGGCCTTCTCTATCATCTAGCCCACGGCCCATCCCCTCTCCCCTCCACCTCTCCAAACCGGCCACCCCCTCTCCCATCTTGGTACTCCTTCAACCCTTGGAGAGGATGCATGGCGGAACCCGAATGGAACTTTCGATTTGTGCATGACGATCGAGATCAAGTCGACATTATCCAATCGCCATTCTTTGACGTGGACTTTGATTTCGACGACATTGTTGAAGAATACATCGACCGTATCCATTACATCTTAGTTGACGTGATCGACGAGCAAAGATCAAGGGACGTTGGATCATCATTGGACGACAATCATCCTCCACCACTCCGGCCACCTATCCAAGAACGACGATCCTAGGTTCCTTCTTCCTCGGAGTGACCTCGATTCTAATGTGGAGACTCTTCTTCCGCTAAAGTCTAGACTATTTGAGCGTATGGGCTCCAAAGGTGAAAGTTTTCATTATTAAATTGTGGATTCTTATTTATCGTCGTAGCTTTACAATTACTCTTTGCATTTTCTTGAATTGTTTGGTTAATCGACTTCGCTCTTCTGTGCCTAAGCAAGTTAAAGACTAGGAACTCCGAGGATCAATCCTCGTTATAAGTAATAACTTTATTTTCGGATTATTTTGTTAATTTGCTCTCTTTAATTTCTTAAGTAACTCCTATTGTTTCACATCAGGCAGGATACCTCTTAAGTGAGATTTTTATCATTTGAGCCAAAAGATGAGAATTTATTTTGCATGAGGGAATTTGTGCCACTGTTTATGTATTGGGTTGCTAGCTGATTGGTTAGAAGAATCTTGATGTTAATGCAGTATTTATAGATAGATTATCTATAGTAATACTTGCATGGTTGGAGTTTAAATGCTAAGTTTAGGCTGATGCTTTTGAGCGGTTTGATATCCCTACAGATATAGAATTTTCATTACAAAAAAAAGGTATTACTATCTACCTGGATAAAGACCCTTGCAAAAATTAACTTAGTTTTTCCAGCTGTGAGATAATTGACAGCTAAAGTAGTACCCACAACGCTAGCAATTTTAGAAATGCCCAAAGAATTTCAACAAGATAACGATAAGGCTAGAATTTTTATCTGAATATGAATGGCAGTGAATTCATCTCTTTTAATTTAAATTCAAGCAACTATTTATAGGATAAAAGTTTATCAAAAAAAATTGCGGACAACCCATTTAAGTCATATCATAATATTTGACAAAGAAATTCAGCAAGAAATATCCATCATTCAAGGAAAAGAAACTGACATTACCATTGAGGCAACATGTCTTGCTTGAGGAGATGTTAGGATATTGTGGATTATCATATTTCTCATACTATCAAATACTTCTTCAAATCTCATCTCTTCAAGCAAGGAAAGGCCGTTTGGATTACTCTTATTTTTAAGAGTCGCCATGACAAGAACATCTCTTAATTCAAACCTATCTCTTTACATAATATTTTTTTACAAAATCATTGCTAAACTTATTGCAGCTGGATTAACTTATCATGCATATACTTGTTCATCCTAGCCAAGCAGACATTCTGTATAATAGAATCTCTATTGATAACATTCTTCTTACTAAAGAAAATTTAGTTAATTTCGAAGTCAATATGAAAAAAAGCTTGTAAAACTTAAAATTTTCAAAGCCTTTGACATTGTTTCTAAACTCTTTCTAATTCAGATAATGAAGCAAAAATGATTTTCTTAGAAGTTTATCAATTGGGTAAAAACTTGCATTGACAATACTAAGTCCTCTATATGCATCAATGAGAACTTGGAAGGGTTCTTCAACTCCTCTCTTGATCTTACGCAAAATTGTCCTTTTCCTCCTTATTCTGCAATGTTATGGATGATCTTTTAAATCTCTATTACCATGTCGGAAACTTGTTGTAAGTTGATAACCTTATTTTTTGAAAGCAAATCAACAAAATATGGAGGTATTACAAGACATTATTCCGCGCTTCAGAAACTTAATGGGCAATTCTTTAACCATCATAAAAGCTTTATCATCTTCTCCAAGAACACCTCAAAATAATATCAACTTATCGATACCCTTAATATACCTATAAAATTATCACATACTTTCACAACCTTATTTCTATGAGCAAACTTCTTAATTACAACTTCATTCCTCTAATAGATAAAATCAAACCGCTGATATGGATTCAGCAGCCTCACAAAACACCTCTGCAGCCAAAAATGTAGCCTTTGCATCTATCTGCTACACTGTATATTATGGTTGGAGAGGAAAAAATGAAAGAATATTTGGAAAAAATATAAACTACAACGCCACATTGTCAAAAATCATCTACAAAGTTAAAAATGCAAAAATTGCTTGTCGGGGTTTTTTATAATTTTCTCTCGTGAGGCATATTGGCTAGAAGATGATGAATGGGGTTCTCCCAATTATTTTGAGCTCGCAGCTCATGGATCGGGGTCTCAATTTACTGTCATTCATACATGATCATATTATATTGGATACTTTTTATCTATTATGCGTCCAGAATTTTTTTATTTACCTTCAGGTCAATCAATATTTTGTTTTTCTTTCTCTTTTGAGCACTGATTATGTTTGTGCAACTCATGGTTGTATTTCAAATTGGCAAAAAGTTGTAATAGTGTGTTCATCTTTGCCTATATAATTATTCCTCGTAGAAAATGAATGGGTTTTACCCTCAATTTACCCAAAAAAGAAACAACATATTTTTTTGTGATGGGTTAGTTAGCTAATAGAGATGCATCCAAGTAATAAATTTATTTAGCAAAATAACAAGTAAATTAGCTTAAGGGTGTTTCACGGAAATTAACTGATTAGAGAACATTGGAGTGGTTGTGGACATAAACTCCGCTATTGTGCATGGAAGCTCGTAATCCTCCACAACAGCATTTGCTGCTTCCAATGGTGTCTTCCCTACTATTCTATGAGCCTTTTTGCCATCCCATTTCTTTCCATATTGTTCTAAGACTATTTTTAACACCTCAACCACAATGCCGTCTGTTACAAATTATAAATATAAGACAGAAAATTATAAAAAAAAGGGAAAGATTAGGGCATCGGCAAGCAACATACAAGCACAAGAATTTTATGTGTCAGAAGATCAAAATCAGGAGGGCATCACCTGTATTTAGAAGTGTGCCGTCTAAATCCAAAATAACGTGAGACACCACCCTCTTCAAAGGATTCAATGTAGACATTTCCAAGCTCAGGGGAATAGGGATCGGCTTCGTGTTTCACTTAGAAATGCATCTTCCAGTAAAAAAATGGAGATCTGAGATATTAAATTAGACAAGAGAATACGCAAGGACAACCAAAACTTGCTCGTGCAGTCCAAATGAGATGTTGAGTAAATAATAATTAAGTAGATTCAAGATCATAAAGAAAAACACTTTGCCTGAAAAAAATAAACCCTGCTGAGATGCTCAGCATCAACTTCAAGAATATCATGTAACGGAGAAATATAACCGCCATTGATAAATTACGTAGCTATTTATGCTTACCCAAGCATTAGAGTTATGCGAAGAAAAAGAGAAATTAAGTAATGCCTCCATTAAGATTGAAGAGGTTATGAGTTTGAGTCACAAAAATACCGTCTCTATAATGCAAGGGTAACGCAAACCAACCCCTCCATAGGCCCTATATTGATAGGAGCATCATATAATGGGTAAGCCCTTTTGAAAAAAAGTAACCAAGATTCATACTTATATATTTATACACATGTGAGAAAGAGAGATACTTTCATTTTATGACTTCCTATGATCATTTTACCTTTCACATGTTTAATACTTCTTTCATTTTATACCTTTCAACTTGTTTTTATTTGAACAATGTGAAATTTCATATATTGGAGCACTTGAAAATAGAAAACGGGCATTTGAAAATGAACAATCATACATATAGTAAATTTAATATTAATGCTACAAACATACTCAACATTAATATTAATGTATCATAAATCCAAAATACATTTGAAGCCATTACAGCTAAAAATGTTTATATATATAATACAAAACAACTCCAAAAATATATAGCAATTACAACTCAAATTTCTAACATTTTCCACAATATAAATCATTTTTCTAACTCTTTACGCATCCATCTAGCCTTCAACTCCATAGGTTTTGAGAGGAAAGATTGTATCATTATACGGTTCCTTGATAAGTTGTCGTATATCATATTAATCTCTTTCTCGGAAAAGACAGAGATGCTTGAAATCTTAGTCATGACCTCAATGAACATTTTTCTTTCCTGGGAAGCTCCTGATGTACTCTGCATAGTGTTAGCAACTTGAGTAACACTATCAGCCATCATGACAATATACTCACGATGTGTTAGATCAATGGAAGGCACTTTCCTCTTTTTTGTACCACATCCTCTAAAAGATTAAGACGATGGTCTCTTTGTCGTTCCCATGAAATCTTCTATAAATTCCACATCAGCCGAATTACTTACTTGTGATGCATCCATATATCCCGAGGGCTCGTTATCTTCTAAATATATTTGTTGATTCTCAAGTGAAGTTTGAGAATTTTCATATTAAGCTCACCTTCCAGTGGCACGTCCTTCGCCATATATTTTCTTCAATTCCACGTAATTTGCAATTGGAATGTTTAGATAAGCAGCGCCCTTCAGAAAAGCATGTAACATAGTAAACTACACAGTATTAACTTGCAATTATTATTTTTTAACAAGTGATGAAAGTAATACCTGAATTTGTGATGCGTACTCCACACGCCCCATCACTATCACTTCTTATTTTCGTCCCTCGATACCCTTGATTATCTTTCCAGATCCTGAATGTGAATATATTTTATTCATTGATATCGAATTTGATTCTTGCATTGCTCTCCTGTGACTTATATACCAAAATTTTCCTTAAATTTTTGAGTGACTCCTTGATAAAATAATTCTTTGAAGCTTTGGGCATATTTCACATAATAGCATTTAATATTCACTCATAATTTGTAGTAACCCAACAATCCACTCAAAATTTGTACTAATACCAAAAAATTTCATGTAGCTGACCCCACTTAGTGGGACAAAGGCTTGATGTTGTTATTATTGTTCTAGTACTTTTATAACTAGATGAAATATTTGTTTGTGAAGTATCCATTATCTTAAACATATCAAAAATCATTTATAGCAAATAGAACATATAATTTATCAAACGTAGAAATACAAATGAATGAAGAAGGTGTCATTTATATCAAAACATACTACAACAAATTGATCTAAACAAAGTAACTTCTTCCAAAAAAAAAGTAAGATGATCATACAAAAAAAAGAATAAATGTCTTGTATACGGTGCCACATGGCATGTGCAATGTCATATATTTTATCCAACCATTCCCAAGAGTCATCTATAATTGTTCGAACGCTACTCCTATAGTAACTTCTTCTTGCCCACTCATCCTCAAAGAGAATAAAATCAACTGAACCTTATGTAACTATCCAATTATGCAATATACTAAAAGCTAAGACAATGTTAACTTGAGTTTGCAAAGAAAAGTAAGGTTCACACTTTAAGATTGTAAAATGATTTTTTAAAGAACCAAAGCACGCTCAATAGTAGTCCGTAATGAGGAGTGCCATAAATTAAATTCTTTATGATCCGCAGGTTGAATAGAACTAAACTCCTTCAAATGGTATCTTGTTGCAAGATATGGAGCTATAGAACTTTTTCGGGTGGAGTACCCACTGTCAACTAGATAATATTTACCTATTACATGACATGATTAAGTTTTCTTTATCGAGGAAGTATAAAAGATAGTTTTTTATGAATTCATAAGTGTTGAAGAAGTTCTTTATAACTCTCATACCTTTTGGAACACATAAACCATCTGGTCTTTCTAATGCGTTCCTAAGAATTGTTGCGTCATGTGTTGAACCTTTCCAACAGTTAACAATATATACAACAACAACACAACAACTAGTAAGAACATATGTGAACCAAAAATTGAATTCATTTGCTGTTAAAATATTTTGGGTTGGGTATGGTTTTCTTCCTCTAAATGTAGACACAATTTTCTTAGATGCCTTAGATTTAATGTGTGTTTCGCCTATAACCCCAATGCAATCCTATTTTTTGTATAAAATATATTAAAAATACAAAACATGTAAATTCCACACAGGTGAATAGAGTATACTTAAAAATAGGCATGAACATATCGTTTGATTGGATCTTACATGGAGTTTGGAGAAGTAGAGGCATAATGAAGTCATGGTGTAACTCTCCTACAACATATAATGAAGCTTTGAAATATCTACTAATTGTTTCCCCTAATCATTGGAAGTTAAATCGGATGATTTGATTACGGACACTATGCCTGAGTATATGCAATAACATAGCAATTTATTCTTCCATCCTTGCGTTGAATGTGTCTACCCGTAATCATATTGTGCATAATTTGAAAAAAGGTTCCTTCATTTGCACCATGTCAATGCAGTACAAATCACATCCATAATATAACCTAGAGAGATTTGTTTCACGTTGAATATTTCGTTCAAAATTATACCTTTTTCTCTCTCCCTTCCTATCTCATACAATAAAGTGAATATAATGCTCAATGCTGCAGTTATCATTGCATAGAGAACTGAATTATCTTGACTTTGTTCTACACCTGCAACATTCCAATACTCATTCAAAGTAGATGACCGTGCTTTGAGATCTTTGAATAATTCATCCATCTATATAGTAACCAATATTAAACCTAAGTTAAATTAACTATAAGAAAATTAGGTAATTATTTTTCTTCTAATAGTTAGCATGTTTGTAATTATTTTTGCATCTAATAGTTATTAATTTTTTTCTATATATGATGTTCCCAGAGCTCTCTGTATTCTTTACCAATTATTTATTAAAATGACTTGCATCATTAACAAATCTTGCTATCTTTAGCATTAAGATACTGATGAATTAACTTTCTCTAAGCTTGTCCAAATCAGTACATAATAGAATCATTTCATAACCAAAACATAAAAGAAGACAAATACAACAGAGATCAAGTAAGAAAACAAAGATAAGTGATATAACTTTTTTACATTTAACAAGATAAACAAGCATAACTATTCTCCTCCACGCCTAGTCACGGGTGATAACTTGTCCTGCCAACCAGACAGGATATATTTTACATGCATGAAGATTGAAAGCAGAATCACATATAACTAGGTAGAGGGAGACTCGAAGGCTTTCACGAGAGCTCGGAATTTTGAGATCAAGAAGAAAGAAAATGACAACAAAAAATCAAGAGATGAAAAAAATGCAGAGTTTTTCTTCCTAGAATATCATAATATAAAATACACAGAAAGACAAACCAAAACTTTGATTGGAGTAATATATGAACTGAAATAGGGAGGAAATATACATAGGTCGCGGGTGAGACCGATGCAAGCTGCGAAACACCTAGGTTGCGACCAGTCGCTAAGAAGAAGTGTCACGGGCGAGACCGATACGGGCTGTGAAATACATAGGTCGAGACCCGTAGTGAAGAAGTATCACAGGCGAGACCTATACAAGCTGTAAAGAACTTCGACAGGAGCTCGATTTCGCCGGAGGGACGAGGGGAAGCAGGACGCTGTAGGAGCCAAACGGTTCGGGGGTTTCGCTCCTTTTCACGCTACAGAAGTAGTGTATTTGCCCATTTGGAACTGGTTAAATTTTAGCGGGTTTCATGCCAAATTACGGGCGCAAATCAGTGCAGTCAAGCTTTAGTCAGTGGGCTTGAGTCGAGCTCAACAGTCAAATATTGAGTCTGATCTTGAAGTCGAACTCGAGTCGAGGTCAAAAATCAAGCTCGAGCTCGACTCATTCCACAGTAAACGAGTTCAATCTGCTCGTCAAGCCTCTGGCGCGGTTCTCAAAAAATTTATTCAGATTTTTTTTTGGTTTGATGTTAGTTGGAGGAAGATAGAGAGAAAGTATTAAGCACATTCTTTTTTAAGTTTGATGTTAGCCTTTATTATTTTGTTGCCCGTCCTATGAGAAGAGAGAGAGACTATTGAGTCAAATTTGATGTCGTTGGGTTTGTATTTCTGAGACGTTCAGTTCAACTATAAATTTGTTGAAATTGGAGTTCGGAAGATTCCAAATTTAATTTTGGAAGTTTCCGGCTTGATTTTTTCTCGAGATTCGTGTCCGATCAAAATAAATTTTTGAAGATGTATCAAGTATTATAAAAAGATTTGTCTATGATGTTGACACATATAAGCTTGATTAAAATAGTGCATATTATGATTGAATATTGAACAGCTTTTAAAAAAAAATTAGTAAGATCACCTCATGTATTATTATGCCATTTATTATTCAAGAAATGTTATTTTATAAATATTACATATAATGTACTGGATTATTTTATATTTGTTTTAATTCTCAAATAAGTTCTTGATTAATTTATCATATTAATTTCTTAACTATTTTAATTATGTTTTTTGAATTATTTAATTTATTTATTGTTTAAGCTAATCATATGTTACTGTGACTGTCATTTTAGATAAATGAAAAGATAAGGCTGATATTGAATGAGAATCTAGTTTTGGAGTAGCAACTTATATTTTGATGTATAGCTTTAGTGTAAGATATAAAACACATTAAGGTATGTATATAATTAAATTAGATGTTATGCAAATAAACTTTGATGCTTGTTAGAACTTTTGTAGTTGAATGAATGAAATTTTGTAAATGCTTCCATATAATTGGTTTGTGTTAGTCATTAGATCCTTATATATTATAATTTATATTGTATAAAAATTTTAGGTTTTTCAAGTGATTTACTTTAGCATTTGTTTTGTTTTGGTGGGTAGAGTATCAAAATGCGTGTTGGTGATAGATTCAATTAGCTAAGTCATGTCATTATTAGGGTGTCAACATTTGACACGACCTGGCAATCTGACCCGAATCCTACACGGAAAATTTGAGTTCAGGTCAATCCGAATCCAAAACGGGTCGGCTTCGGGTTAGATATTGCGACCTGTTTGTAAAATTGGGGCAGGTTGACCTGAAAACAACCCGATTTCGACCCAAGAACCGTCTATGTCACGTCTGTATGAACCAGGTCGCTTCCGTCACTTTGTATGTCATGTTCGTCAGTTTGTTTGTCGCGTCCGTCGTTCGTCTCGCTGCCGCTGCTGGCTTGTGGCTACCGCAAGCTCGCAACCTGCCTGCATTTGGCTCAACAACAAGAGGATTGGAAGTAATGACAACGACAAGCCCCGCTATCCTTGCCGGCGTCCCGAGTTGCATCAAGTTGTCCATTTACATATTTTCATTTGATTTCCTCTTATCTATCATTGTCAATGACCATCATGATCATTTTGCAACACCATAAACACCAATGCCTCTCAATTCTCTTCATCAACATCGTAAGAGACTTACATTATATTTTGTTTCCCTTTGATATTGGACTTACACTTCTCCAATTTTAGAGAATAATCTCCTTTATATGAACAGTGAATAGATGATTATATCCCTCGAACACCTCCATGGACCCACTTGAATCAAGTTTAACTATGGTAATAAATCATGAATTGACAATGGTCAAATTGCAACTAACATCAACAATATCCTCAATTGATAACTAAAGGATTTGATTTTGAAGTTCTTAACAAATCTCTTAAGACTCAAATTCATAAAAAAAATATTTCAATTGGGCTAGACCCCATAAGTTATCCCCTTTAAATTTTATGTGATAAAAATCTTATTATACCTTATGAGTATTTCATTTAATTTTTATGATCATTTGATGCTTAGATATTAAAATATATTACTACAATATTAGTAATATTCAAGCACACAACAAGAATGTTCATCATAATTTATAAAATTATTTATGTTTATTTATTTACAATATTATTTTATAATTTATTTAGAGTAAAATAGACAAATAACTAAAAAAAGAAATATAATAAAATTTTAATTTGTATAATATGATATATATTGTGAAATTTGAGTGTGCATGCTCTATAATGCTAAAAATTGGAAAAAAATTGTCTATTTTCTCTCTTTGGACAAAAATAAATCCATTTTTTAGGGCATCTCCAACCGAAAACTTCATTTTTCACGGCAAAGTAACGCAAAACTCCAAAATGGCGCGGTGATGCTCCAATCGAACGCCATTTTAGGTGTTTTTGAGAAGGTAACGATCGCTCTCCCTTTCGCGCGTTTTTCCGGTTGAGAGCAAAAAATGGCGTGAGTGAACAGTGCGACGCCAATATTGGCATCACACTGTTCACCTGCGATTAAATGGCGGAAATTTTCGCGTTCGGCTGGAGCGACGGAACGACTCCATACACTCGTTTAGCGTTCGGTTGGAGATGCCCTTAGATAAATTGGCAGAACTTTCACTAAGCAATGCTATGCGGCCATTCATCTGCTCATCTTCTATTTCATGCAATTACAGAGTGAACATCTTCATGTAGAAAATCACTGTGATGATCTATCACTACTCATCATATTTGAGGTTTAGAATTAAAAATAAGCTTCACAATCTAAACTCTAAACCCCTTGACTATTATGCTTCAATATATGTACTAGTTGTCATTTTAGAGCCGTCTTCCAAACACATTTGCCAATAGAAAGATGACCGAATCACCATCGAATAATCTTACTAATATGCAAAACATTAGACAAATCTATTTGATCATTCTAGAAAATGATCAATACAATTTAGCCTTATTCAAACTTATTCAAACTATTAATCAAAATTATGTTATACCCTTTTTTAAGAATTGGTCAAGGGCTAAATATAATTTTGATTACGAGTTTACATAAGATTCATGTAAGTTTGAATAAGGCTAAATTACGTCAATGTTGATTTAAATATTGCTAAATAAATTTGAATATTTTATAGGATCGACTTGTTTGACTTGTTCACTAAGTATATAGATGTCTGAGATAATTATATTAGTTCGAACTCTTGATCAAAATAGTATTACGCTCTCTTTGAAGGATTGATCAATGGTTGAATATGATTTTAATTAATATTTCATGGAGGGGGTCTGAAAGACCGCCTCTTTATTATTTCTATTTGTATTTGGTTTCTTCGTTCTCTAACAATAACATCTATACACAATGTGTTTAATAATATTAGAGCAATTACATAAAAACATAGTATTTTTAAACTTTTAGAGGGGGCAAGTGCCTACAAATTCTTGTAATAAAGACTAAAAAATACATGGAGGGAGACAAATTACCTAAAAATTCATAATAATAATAATAATAATAATAATATATATAATTAGGGGGGGGGGGGGGCAGGGGGGAAATTTTCTCCCCTGGGCTTAAGGTGGATCCGCCCATGTCCGTAAAGTCCGTAAGCAATAAAGTTATGTAATAGAGAAACCAATATGATTAAGAAACCAGTAAAATAGTAAAAAGAAGAAATTGTGAAATTTGTAACTCAATAGCCCACTAAATCGATATGGAGGTCATTTCAATACAACAATGAAATCGTATCATTGTAGCAAATTTGTATAAATGTGACAATAGCAATTCATTCCATACTTAGTAATTAATGAATCAACATTGCCATTAGCAGTAACATTAGAGCAATATAATAATAGTAGTAGTAATAGTAGATCCATATAATGATAGTAAATTAAGACAATATCAATAAAGTCGCACAATATTAATGAATTAGCATTAGCAAACATTCTAGTAATACTCTAAACAAGTAAAGAATCCTGGTAAAAATGGTGTTTTTTCACTAATTAGTATCAATATCAATATTAACAAACTGTTGGCTCCACAAACATAGTCATTACTCTTTGATCATCAATGTAATAATCATTTCTTTATAACTCTCAATTAATGAATCACATGAATTAGTAGAGAACAACACAAAACCACAATATTCAAAGGAAAGATTGTCGTCCCACTATCCTGTACAAGTCAGTCAGTCTCTACCCAACGTAAGTGAATAACTAGTCTTTACTTTTTTTTTCTCACACACACATTATTATCACAATACAATAATAGTAATAGCGATCATTTGTTACTCAACCACATATCCACATTCACTTAAGTAATGCTTGTGTTAACAATAAGCATAGAGTAAAAATATTAGTTATTCAATCTATAGAAATAATACAAAATATATTAATTTATTTTTTACATGGTAAAATTCAATAATATTACAGTAAAAAAGCTCATATTGATGACATCTATCACATACAAAAAGTTTTGTAGTGAAAGTTTGTTAAAATTTAAAATATCATAAATTTTGCAAGTTTTGATCAAATTAAAATGCATAAAATACAATATACATAAAATCATTGAAATCATATATAAGGTAATGATTACGTACAATAAGACAGACAAATTTTCCAATAGGGTCGACTGATAAAAAATCGCTTTACAGCTTTTAAATCTTAGTTTTTTTTTTTCTCTCCTCAATTTTCTCTCTTCTTTTCCTTACCTGCTCTCTATTAAAAAATAAAATGAGTGAAATGAATTTCATGAAAGTTATATAAGCGAATTAGGATATTTATATTAAAATAAATTCGGGGCATTTTGGTAATTATGCAATATGTTTACTTTTTAGCTTAAACTTCGTATAAATTGTTTTATATCTTAAAATTTGAAGCTATTAAAATTATAGAAAAATATCCATACAATAGTCCATCATGTTTGAAATTTTTTAGTAAAATCAATTTGCAAAACAGTTATTTGACGGTCCTAAAACATCCACTTGTACCGTTGTGTTTAAATTTCTTAAGGAATTGCATCAATGTCCAAAAATTAGAAAAAAAGGATTATAATTAGAGCACAATAATATCTATTACTGGAAAATAATTTATAGTTTAGACTTATAATGACTTCTAAAAAAAAAACCGGATTAAAATATGAGTTATTACAAGAGAGATCATGGTTGGTGGGCAGCTGAGATTTGAGGGACCGCAGTCGGCGGAGGTTTGAGGGATCATAGTCGGCTAGCAAAGGAGGTCAAAGTGACCATAGTCGGCGGACAACGATGGTTAGAGGGACCGTAGTATAAGTATGTCATATTTGAATATCATTTGGTCATTTAACTAATGTTTGTGAGTTCCCAAATATGCACTAAAATTTGATTCCATTTTGGCTCAAATTGGACCGATTTTGATGTCGTTAGGTTCATCTCATTGAGACTTCCAATTTGATTATAAGATTGATGAAATTGGAGGTCAAATAGTCCCACATTTAATTTTGGAAAATTATAATTTGATGATGCCTCATAATTAATATTTGATGGAGGTATTTTTAATGACGCGTCTAAGGACAAACTCAGCACATGTTGAAGCTCCCAACCGTGGACCTCCTTAGCAATCGAAGCTCCCGACGAACATATCAAGGTGGGCTGCGTGATGAGGTCTTCGCGGTTCGCAGATATTGGATAACCGTCTCTCACCATGGAAACCTCAGGAAGAAGCGAGCCAGAAGCGTGCCCTATTTGTTACGAACCTCTGCGACGAGAAGCATATCTTGATCGTTGCTTTCGTAAGAATCGGTGTCCTTTTTTTCGGTCTCCGTTCTTTTAGGGTCTTAAGGAGCATTCGGAAAGTAATTATTTTTTAGCTGCTGTTATGCTATTTTGTTTCTCCGACCACGATCCTCTTAAAATTTGATTACTTTCTTCGTATTCTTTTGCTATGTTGGTAATGTTTCCCATATGAACCTTTCAGCGGTCATTGGAGTTGTTTTTTCTACTGCTGGAACAAAAGTGTGATTAAAATAACAGAATTGAAGATATTCACAGCAATAGGAGTCCATAAGTCCATCTACTCTTGCAATTTAAGCTGGAAGGATTTATGGTGACTGCATATTTGGCTCAGTCACGTTGAGTATATAATATATTTGAAGATTTTATATACTCAATGTGACTGAGCCTATAAAATCTTCAAAGATATATGTCAGTTGTTTGGTTTGCTTAAAAAGTCAAATAAATATCATCATGAATGAAATTAGCTTTTTTTGATGGCAATCAGAAGCTAAACAAAGTTTTTGACATCTTGATATCCATGAGACGGCAAAATGACTATAACACCAAAAAGAAAGATGAAAAATGAAAATCATAGTTTTTCTTTGTAGATAATATTACTTTGTTTAAGTATGATAACATTGCACCAAACACACTGCATTTAATTGATAACAACATTAATCGAACTGTTATCTCCATAACATTGGCCTGAGTAGCCCTAGAACAATTTGAGGTGAGTTCCTTATTTGATTTTGTAAAATATTGACTAAATTACATGTTATGCAGGACAAATGAGCATTGCAGGCTGCAATGCCCTATGTAATGGATGAAATATTATTTTTTTTTTGACTTGCTGAGACAAATTTATTGTATTTATCATAAAAGTGAGATCATTTAGCCCATTTGAAACACATTCTTACCTTCTTATCTAGGTTTCAAATGTACCTGATGTTCTTCAAATAATAAGGAATTGCTTAGAAAGCATGATGTGTTTTGTGGGCGGGGCTTGATTTCTTTACATTCAAAGCATGGTTTGTCCTGTAGTTTAAAATATGCAATGGTTGACTTGGAAGTTTATTGTTTTATATTACCTAAGCCTACTTTTGAACATGGAATCTCAACGCTATCAAATATTTACACAATGATGTTCTATATCTTTGTCCAAATTATCTCATTAATGGGATGCATTGGTATGTATTTACCGACTCTGTTTATAATTATAAGAATATCACATCAAAGCTTGCCAATGAAAGAGAAAAACATGGATTTTGTTAAGTTAATTAGTCTTCCTGTTATGAGGTTGAGGAGATTGAGGAATATAATTTAACTCATTTAGAATGCATATGACCAAAATTTCATGTAGAAAGCATTCGTTTCTATCTTGAAGATCTTGCCATATAAGCAATTGCCATTGCTAATTACTAGCTACAACTCCTTATTTTCAGCTGATCCTTCCTTAATTTCACGTTAGCCTCAACTATCTTGCTCTCTTCTCCCTTTTCAGCGACCTCTCACCTGTTGCACCCAACACAGACCTCCCCTTCCAATCAACACGGGACGTAACGTAGAAAATGAAACATTCATGAATATTCAAAACATCCAATAAAGCTATATATATATATATATATATATACTAGTTCTAAGTACTCTAATTAGTAAAAGAGCCACTTAATGTTGCGCATTGAAGCATACAAATCACATTGGCTAGGGCTTTAAAAACACTGGTTATTCCTTGAGCATGCAAGAGCACTTTAAATATGCGAAGTTTAAACAAATTTGTGCCACTAAGATATTTTGGTTAGGAGTCTGACACATCATACACAATTTTATAAAATGTTCAATTAGAACCTAAGCTAAGATGAAAGCTAATCTGAGAAACAATGCCTAACCTATAATAGTTGAACAACTTATAAACCCTCGGCAAGACAGTCAAAGTGTTAATGAGCATTTAATCTGAAGAATTGAATTCTAGGTGTGATTTGCAAAAAAATAAATAATGTTAATAATATCTTGGTTTGTGAATGGATTTTACTGTAAGATTGAGTTAAACCAAGGACTAAAGATGCATCTCATCAGAAAGCCTTGGAAATCGGGAGATCAGTTTTTTTTTTTTCTTTTTCAATGTTTAGAAGTAATGCAAATCAGTTTGTCACTTCTAGAGTAAGTCCACTTTGGTCTATTAAGCAATCGTTGTTTTTACCCTAGCTCGACGAACGCTTACTCTCCCTAGACTTGCTTCACTAACAATGATCAATCTATTGGTACGCAAACTACTTAGGTTGTTTGTTATAGGTGTCTATATAATTTTGACACTTGTGCAAGAATATGAACTTCTAATTCCTAATCATGAAAATATTGAATTATATGAGGTCAATGAGCCTTTTTTTATGATGATTTAAATGCGCAACGAACAATAAATTAATATCTTCATATCATGTCGTATATTGTTATGAAGGAATATTAATCTGGAATAAAAACTGAATATGAAAAGAAAAATGAATCTAGAAGCTGAAAGCAACTCGTAAAATTTAATTCTACATTTTTTATTGATGCACCTCCTTCATGATTAACTTTTTGGCATCCTACAGTTTCTGCATTCCCTATATATGCATTTTATGGTTTTTTTAATTGGGTTCTGAGCATTTGCATGAATTTACTATTGATTTGTAGTGAATTTTGTTTTAGATGATGAGTATATATGGTTTTAATTTTTAAACATTCCGCGATTTCCTGCTGGCTACTTAGCCCTTCGAAGCAACTTGAAGCTGTTTGATTTGTCTACTTAGCTTTTGTAATAATCTATTGATTAGAAATGATACTCATTTGGAGCTTATGTGGGAATTTATCATGTATCTTATTGTATGTGATTGACCATTTTATTCTTAGGCCCTGGTTTTAGGTTGCTGTCATGTGTTTTTATTGATTTGATTTTATCAATGATCAATGGATAGCCCGGTTGAAGTGGATTTTTCTTCAAATCTAATGAAGCTGTTTTTAGTAGATCTATATCCGTGTCTTACTTGCTTCAAATTTTTTTTTTAACAGATGCATTTTGCTATCATTGTATTGTTCAGTGGTCAGAATTTGTCAAAGAAAAATACTGTCAATCAGCACCTTCCGTGAAATGTCCTCTTTGCAAGGTTTGTTACTGGTTATTTTTTGCATCCTATAAGAATCAGTTTTGCCTTTTGTACAAGCAATTTTGACTCATCAGTTTAGACTTACTAGTTTTCTATTATAATCTTTATATTTTTAATTTCTCTATGGTTTCTATTAATGGATCCCATGTGACAATGTGGAGAGCTTAGACTAGGGTGTCAATATTGGACACGACACGAAAACAAGACTCGAACCCTACCCGAAAATTTTGGTTTCGTGTTGACTCGAACCGGGTCGGATTCGGGTTAAGGTTTTCGACCCGTTTGCAAAATGGGGTCGGGTTCGGGTTCGAGTTGACCCGAAAAATCGGTAATGACCCGGAATGACTCGTTGCCCGCCCTGACCAGGGTTGACCGGAGCTGCCCGCATAGCTCCCAAGGCCAACCCCACGTCCTCGTGTCACACTTGAGGCCAACCCCGCGTCCGTGTGTCGCACGTCGCATCCTTGGTTGTTCCAATCTGGTGTCATGCCCGTCACGGTTACGCTGACCAGTTGCTCTCAGTGCCACTACTCGCCGCGTCCAGCAGAATCGCGGCTGATGCCTGTCGCGCCGGTCGCATACCCGCTTGCCCACATTGAGTCCAGTTCCCGCTGTCCGTCGCTGTTGGCTGCAGGTGAGCCGACCGTCTGCCTGTCTCTGCCGATCCGCAACTGCCTGTGTTTCTGTGGGTAATGGGTTGTGTCGGGTTGACCTGAACCCGAAACGGGTCAGGTTGGGTCCAAAAAATCAACCCATTTGCAAAGATGGGTCAGGTTCGGTTTGACCCTAATAGGGCCGGGTCAGTTCCAGGTTCGACCTGAACCTGACCCGTGACCCGAAATTGACACCCCTAGCTTAGACTGCCACAAAAGTCTTTAAGATAGGAAATTTTTTGTGTATTTTAGATTTTCTACATCTTCGATATGCCATGGGCTTCATTCACCTCTTTTTTTTCATCGATAATCTCAATACTATGCATGCCTTTTTTTAACATTGGTTTTAGGTATTATTATCATTATATATTTCATATTATTTAATATCTTTCAGACTACAAATTCCTTTTTTTAGGCGTAGATAGCTTTTCCTTGAACCATCTTGACCTTTATGCAAAGTTTCATTACCATAGGAATCATTTTAATATCAAATCACGCTTAGAGATTGATTTGGTGCAATATGCCAATGCAAGAAAAAGTGGACCATTCATTAAAGCTTAGAGCAAAAAATTTGCTTCCAAGTATAATTAACTAGCTTTTAATTACATTATACCCATTTTTATGTAATTTATGAGACTTATGTGTTTTTAGTATTTCCAGTTTAGAATATTTGAGAATATGAAAATTTGAATTTCAGATTTTTTTAATTTGATTTTGATAATTCAGAACTATGGAATTTTGGAAGTTCACCTTTTCAAATAATGTGGGAAATACCATTTAAAATCAATAAAATTTGATTATTTGGAGTAAAAGTTATTCAAATAAGTGAATTCTAACTAGAGTGGCTGGCCTCCACTGATTAGAGTGGTGGTTATGAGTGGTTAAATGTGTAACCACCCCTTCTCATCCACACAATTGATCTCCCTTGCCCCCACCGTCCTTTTTCCCTCTTTTTCAATTTATTTTGAATTTTGAGTGGGTAAGAATATATATAAGTGTTTTATTTGCTTGGAAAAAAAAGGATTTGATGTGTTTGAAGAAAGTTAAAGTTTCTTCTAAGAGAGAGTGAAGGATAGGTGATTAGCCACTCCTTTGAGGAGATTGCATGATCTCTTCAACGCTAATCACTTTGATGAGTAATTGAATTTATGTCTGCAAATTGTTATTTTTTCTTGTATATCTCTTCTCCTATTTTACCTTCACAAGATCAGACTATTTTCCCTTCATTTCTTCCGCAAAATCACGATTTCCGAGTAAAAATCCCTAAAAAGTTGGCAGATATAATGCTTGCAGAGACATGACCTAATCTTATTTCATTGACTATTTGAACATATTCAATCTCTTGAAAAATTGTGATAAAACTCCAGAATTAATCTATAAATAATTTTATATCAATCACAAGTGTTTCCAGCCTTCAAGCCCAACCTTAAACCCTTCCACTAAAGCCCAAAACTAAATCCAGGGCTGTCAGCCATAGAGAGTTTCAGCCAGACCTAGTCTTGTTTTAAACCCCATCAAAAACCTCTAAAACTATTAGAAAATTATGAAGCACTCTAAATTACATCTAGTACATTACTCTAAACATTCCAAGTGTTTCCTAACCCTGGTTTCAATATTTTCCCCTTACCAATACCCAAAACCTAAGTTAAGTGTTGCAGAGATGAGGATGCCTAGGTGGATGAGTGGCTTTACTCTTATAGACAAGATACGAAATGAGCATATATATGAAAAGGTTGGAGTAGTTCCACTAGAAGATAAAATTAGAGAGAGTCGTCTTAGATGGTTTGGTCACATAAAACGGTAGCCTTCCGATGACCTGGTTAGAAAAGTAGATATTTTAGATTTGACTTATATTAAGAAGGGTAGAAACAGATCTAAAAAGACTTGGTTAGAAAATATTAGAAATGACATTTCTTTATTAGATTTAGATAAGAATTTGACTCTTAACAAGACACAATGGAGAAAAAAGATTCATGTACCCCACATAGTGGGATAAAGGTTTGTTGTTGCTTTTGTTGTTGTACCAAAACCCAAAAGAACAATTGATTCAGGAATAATTTTTTTGAGCATCCTTTTATTTGTGCGGCATTACATTTCTGTAAGTATACTGTTTGTCATAAAATATTTTTATCTTTATGCAGGTTGAAAACTTTTCCATTGTTTATAGTTTTGATGGAGAATCATTTCGCCGATTTTATTTAAATGGGGATTGTCAAGATAGGTTGGTGGCTGATTTTTTTTCCTTGTACTTCCGCTTTTTTTCTGTATATTGAGTTCCCATCTGTTTCTTTGTGAAAATCCATCTTACTAAGATGATGGTTACTTTTTTTAAGCTTTTTTACAAGTGGCCATGAGTTCAGATTACAGTGCTACAGAAGCGAGCCTGGTAATAGCTAGCCTTCAATTGTTACCTATTTGTTTTACTTTTTCATTTTTTTGCCATAATACATTTCTGGAATTAAAGGTAACATATTCAATGTTCAACGATATTGGAAGCACCATAGATATCGCCAGAAGAACATTTGGCTTCCAAGTTGGTTGAGAAGGGAGATCCAAACTCTCACTAAGGTATAATAAATTTTTTTTTTTTTTTCATTTTTAGTTTTATGAGATACTTTTAAGTTTTGAAATACTGTTCCCTTTTTCTGTGTGTGCATACAGTTGAAGGCATGTGTATTGCTGAAGATTATATTCATAATGCAATTGGTATTTGAATCCATTTAAAGGATTAATACCAATGATGTCTTTGTTATGTTCTTGCCATGTGTTGTTCTTTGGAAATATACATTTAACGCCCTTAATTAAAAATTTGAATTCCTGGTTTAATTAATTTTCCCTTTCCCATGCTTCCGTTCCATGCGCTAAAAAAACTCTGTATGCCATTGCCTCTAATGACTGATATACTGAAGAATCAGCAATCTGAAATTCTGAATATTCTTTTTTTTTTTTTTCCTTTTAATGCTTCATTGACATGGTTTAATTGTCATCCATAAGTAGATTATATCTCTAATCATTTTTTGTTGAAGGAGAGCTGATAGCTGCAAACATGTTTCTCAGAGATGAGAAAATTACGAGACCTATCTGTTCTGTAAATTTATGGTTTAGGATCCTGCCTTATTTTTTGCCATATTCTCCACTATCGTCCATGTTTATTTTACTCACATTGCTTCTCATTCCTATGGTCATATTGTTTAACATCACTTTGTTGTGGTTTTCATCATGAGTTAGGTCTTTGCGCCGTATTCTAAAATTTGTCTTGTACGTATGGTTAACTGCTTCTACAATGATTTTTTTTTCCTGGCTGGCAGGTGTTATGGTCCTTTCTCCCATCATTGGAAACTGAATCTCTAGCTCATAGTTTTTTTCTCTCTTCTTTTTGTTGATTTCATATTCTATGATCTTCTTTGCTCCTTTTATACGCCGCTAAAGGCACCACAACCCGAACTTTTGAGATTTATTATTAGTTTTATCTAGAGTGCAAGTGATGCAGGACTTAAATGCCATAGCGATGATTTTAAAGAATCTTGCACAATTTAATTTAGAGAGCTTTATTAATTAAAATACTTGTAGTGATTAAACGATGAAATAAAACAAGAAAGAGATGAGACTAGCTAGGCCAAGTCACACGACTAGAGGTTAGGATCACAAAATAATAAACGGTTTATAATATAACATACACGAAAGATTTCCAACAAGGAATCCCTACACTAACATTGAGATTATTCGCTATGAAGAATTATTCACTCACTTTCTAAATTACTAGGCTTTAGCGGAGAGACTTAACACGATTTTAATGAATCAATTAAAACCACAAGTTGGTGTAAGATTTTGGGGAATATTCACTTTGCTTAGGATTTGGAGACAATTTGCCATTGGACGGAAGAAAGTTGCTCGTCAATAGCTTCAGCGAGGGTGAAGATGATCCTCTCCACGTAATCCTCGACGGTTTGGTCAATCTCGAGGTTGAGGTCGAAGAAAGGGGATTTGAGGATGTCGATGTGGCCTTGGTCGTCGTAAACGAATTCGTGATCAAGTTCTTGATCCGCCATGCATGAGGGAACAATAGATTTTGGTTTGTTGGAACTTCCGGGCTGCAGATGATGATCTCCCCGGCCGGCTGGACAGCAAGGAGACATGCAGGAATTTTCTAGACAGCCGCCAAGCAACGTCCAGAAAATCTGGACAGCAATTTGGAAACCTGGAATTGGGGTTTAGGAGTTGTTTTGGGAGAGAGGAAGGGAAGGAGGTGGGGAAGGGCCTGCGGGTAATGGGGGAGGGGATAGGGAATTTCCAAAATCTGAAAATAATTTCAGATTTTTGTTTGGAGGGATTTGGGGTTATGTAACTTGAATTTCAAACAAGAGGAAAAAAAGGAAGGTAATCCTTAAGGAGAGAAGTAATTGATGCTCTCAAGAAGGTAGGAATTTAATGTGAAAGGGAGAGGGAAGGGGGACAAGGGGCCGGCGGCATGCTTGGGGCTTGAGTGGGCTTAGGGAAAGTATTAAAGCTTGTTTTAATTAGAATTTAAATTAGGAAGAATTAATTTAAATAAAATCCAATTAGAAATTTAAATGGATCTAATTTAAGTAACTTTCCTAAAATAGGAATCCTTATTTAGGAAACTAATTCAAATTCAAATTAGTTTGAATTTTGAATTCAAATTCGTTACCAAGGGAGCTAAAATAGGAATGGCTTCGAATGCAATATGAAATTTGTGAAGCCAAGGGAAGAGGGAGGTGGCCGGCGGCTATGTGGGGATTAGGGTTAGGGTTTAGTTGCTGTGGGGGGTTGTTGGCCGACTGGTCAGGTTAGGGTGGAGTAGAAACTGGCGGCTAGTGGGCTTGGGTTGTGGTGGCCGGCGGCTTGAGAGGGCAAGGGGAAGGGGACGGATGCTTGGTCGGCGGGTTGGGGAAGTTTCGAGCGGAGGTAGGTGGGGAAGGAGGAGGGAAGAAATAACGATGAAGATGACCACGAGCCCGAACACTTCCTGCGGCTGGTGGGTGATCCGATTTCCCTCCGTAGGGTTCTCACCAAAGCTCTCTCTCACAACACATAGGAGACAAGAAACAAAAGCTGAAATTTTTCATAATAATCTTCATTAGCCCTCAAAGGAGGGGAAGGTTTTAAATAGCCCAAAATACAAAGAAAATACCAAAGAGGGTATACACATGACTAGGCCCTTAAGCGAGGGCATAAATGGAAATGTACAATAAAACTCATTAAACATAAAAAAATAATAAATCTAATACAATGATAATCAGAAGTAGATCGGTGCGATCGTGGCCGTAGATCGTCGGCCCCGTCTCTAGTAAACTCTCAAAGGCCTGATGTCCTCATTAACAAGTTATTATTTTTGGGAAGGTCGGGAGACTTTCTTAGGGATTTATCATAAGGTTTCTATTTTTAATAAAATTATCCATCATACTTCCCTTTAGTGAGATTACGTGTATTCATTTCCTCTTCAAACATCTTTGGTTGATTATTCAATATTATTTGTCGTTCATTTACATGAGTTGCTAAATTTGAAAGGCTAAATGACATGTATAATCAAAATTTAAGAGTTATGGTATGTCTATTCAAAGTTTGGGTTAATATTAATAAAAAATTTATGTAATTTATCTTTGGTCTACCCTTTTATCTACCTGACATGTCTTGCATTAAATTTTCATCTCATCGCTAGGTAAGATTGGGAAAAAAAAAATAACATAATGCATCACATGTTCAGGTTTATTACTACTACTTTATCCCAATCTAATATACAATGATAAGAGTAAATCAGGCCATAAAGAGAACCACATTATTTAGCACATTGATTTGGTCAATTTATTTGAAATATATAGTACTACTTTTAAACATTCCTAGCATAGTTTACGAATTTCCTAACAAAAATTATGAGAGAATTTTCAATTATATTTTTGATGATATCCCTTAACAAATCTATTTGGAAATATGTCATTTTAGGTAATATTTCCAAATTGATGATTGGGACTATGTTCACTATAATTCCTAATATTATTTGATGATATATTGGAGTACTCTTTCATGTGTAATTGTACACCTCTTTGTTTTTAGCACCCCCTCATTTCTCTCAAAATCCACACCACCCTTGTTCACATGTCAAGGACAAATACCTTCATGGTTGAACCATGCAAAACTTTTGGCTCCACCATGCTGATGCCACCTCCCTTTCCACAAAGTGCGTTTGGACCGTGTTCTTTTATGTTATGGGCTGATTTTGGACCCAGCGCAACCCTATGGTTTCTTGCATTCCTTTGATGACTCTTTGGTACTCCTTTATTGAATTGATATCCATATTTGTTAAAAGACTGGGATCCACAAGTCAATCAAGTTTGATAGTTATTATTGAGCACAGGGATAAATGTTTCTAACTAGTGGATCGATTCTCTTATAACCTTTAGATTGCAATATGTGAGCCTCCTCTTCCTCTTCTAACCACCGGCCTCTCTTGAGAATATTTTTCCTTTTTTGGTGATTAGCTTTGATTTATTTTATTATAAGACTTTTAAGAAAAGTTTATATATGCTTCCACATTTTGTAGGAATCAAGCAGTCTCAAGCAGTAAAATTCAATATATATATATATATATATATATTCATTATTTCCACTTTTCTATAATATCATTCACCAATGAAAAATCTCTTCTAAATATCTTTTATTCTATTTTAATATGTTTGCAAAGCCAGCACCCTTTAAAAGTTTTGATGTCATTCATTTTCTTTGTGAACTTCTAATACGCTTCTTGAAATAAGTCTATTGATTTTAAATGCCTCATATGAGGCCACATTTGTACAGGAAGAAGATGTGGACATTATCTTTCATCATGTTCATGGTGTGATAGAAGCCTTTTTTAGAAGGTAATTAAATTTTTTTGTTTGAAAAAAATGTTATGGCCAAGAATATTTTTCTTATGCTGTTAAGGAATGAGAACATTTTACAAATTCATTCGTTATTTTGTTTCGGACTTATTAGATGCACCGGTTGATCTGATAACTTCAAACTATGTTTTTTCTTGGATTAGTTAGCTATCAATAGCCCCTCTTATTTTTAAGTTTTTTCCTAAGTTTACCAAGATTCTTGTGGTTAACCAATTGCTAAGCATGAATAGGAAATACTCAACCAGCCCCTCTCCAATTATTGTCATGGTATTGGAGGCTAAGTTTTTTCTTTCTTGTATTCTCATTATTGTAGCCTTCATCATAGCATTAATACAAAATCTTGCATCCTTCATTGCCACTCTTTTTTCCCTTTTTCCTATTTTTTTAATAATTTTTCAGGTTCGACTCGAACCCGACCCGTGACTCGAAATTGACACCCCTAATCAGGAGTAGTCTTTCAAGAATTATTTGACGAACTTTGAATGAATGATATCAATTCATTCACCTGAGGGAAAGTATGAAACTCCTGCATAATATACTAGTTAGGACTCAAACTCATCAAGGCACCCGTCCTCTTTCCTATCTCTTTCACTATCACCTTATTAATGTGAAGGATCTTTGCTCTTACTCAATAATCCATACACTGTTATAATTATTGTTTTGCCTACTTATCAATCCATAGACTATTGCAATGATTTTATAATTATTACTTCTTGATTTTGTATGTTTCATATTAGAAGACCTTTAAGATCATGTAAATACTATACTAATCTTAAAATGAAATAATGAACCGATTCTTTCTAATTTTTATCAAGTTCACTTTCTCCCATAGATCAAATTAGATTCAATCAAATTGTTGTTCATAGTGCTGCAAAATGCGCATGTAAGACATTCTATGTGAACGCGTATAACATTTGAAATGCATCATCTATTCTTTAACATGTTTAAAGCACAAAAAGTACACATTTCTCACTATTCCTCTTCAATTTCAGATTTTTTATTTATTCGGTTTGATGCTGTAGATCTAGTTCTGTAAAAAAGACTGGTTATTCATGTTTGGTTTGATAATTAATTTGAGCCCGACTAGTTTTAATAATTTTGTATATGTTCACATAATGTTTAGGACTTGATTATATATATATATATATATATATATAAAAGGTGACATGTGTGTGTATATTTATGTATGAATGTGTATATACACGCGTGCATACTTATATGTTTGTGTGTACATGTATGTACGGATGTGTTTATTCATATTTAAACATTTATATTTACGTGGATATATACACATATGGTGACATGTATATTCTATAATTTCTTTATAGCTTTATGTAGATTTCATGTTTATGAATAGCTTGTGGTCTATTTGGTAAGTGAAAGACGAAATACAAATAAATATTTTTGACTCGTCTGCTTAATGAATTGAGTTGAACATTACTCTATAGCTTGCACAAACTCAATTTGTTTACACCCATATATAAATTCATGAAGTAGAAAATGCCAATCTTGCTTTCCTATCCCGATCTTAACCGTAATGATCCATTACTGTTTTATTTAAGTTATCTGGTGCTCATCAGCTGCGTCCCTTCTTGTTTGGGACGCATAAAGATATGGGTTCATATCTTCTGTGCCTTTCAACAAGTTTGCGCTCTCTTCATTCTTGGAACTGCTCATCTTTCACCATCTTCCTCTTGGGTTCTCTGCTCTCCTTGATGTCTGTCTTGACTTTAACTGTCTTGCATTTGAAAGAATTGACTATTGAGCCTTGGGCGTATGGATTCATAGCATCAAATGAGTGTGAGGCAGTTTTATTTTGACTATGAAACATTGGTTCACCTGCGCCATTAGTCTAGGCTTTTTTAGTAGTAGTTATTCCATATGTCCTAGGTCAAAATGATATCAAAGAAACTCGAGAATGGCTCCCTTCTTGGGACCGTACTGTCCGGTTTTCAATGCACCTCCCATCCCATTGGCTCCACCATCAGCAGCCCCTACGGCGACACCTTTGCTGGGATCAACCACCATCCTTCACTACTCACTTACCAACTGCGCCCGTAATGGGGTGGCGGCCAAGGGGACAAAAATGACAAACGGCGTTCAAGAGGGATGAATTATTAGGTTCGGAGTCCTCTGGACATCCACTTAAAATTTAACACGTGGAGTGCACTTTGGTTGTTTTTTTGTGTGTTTTACTTGTGTTTTATTTGCGCTTTACATGCGCTTTAGTTGCGCTTTAACTGCTCTTTTGTTGCGTTTTTTTATTGCGCTTTGACTGCATTTTATTTGTGCTTTACCTGCACTTTGGTTGCGCTTTTGGTGTGCTTGGCTTAAAGTTCTGCGGAGATATTAAATATATAAAGTAAAAAATAAATCAAATTGAATATTCACGTGTCCACTCCACATGTCAACATTTTATTGGAGTTCGAACGTATCTCTACATCCGGACTCTGCACCTAATAATTTGTCTTCAAGAGGACGGGATAATTTTCATGCATCTTATGATCTACTATCGAGGGCTGAGGATGATCCTGCATTCAACTAAGATTCACAGTTTGACAATCCTGTTAGCTTGACTTTGCATGCTCTGCATTGAAAGGTTGAGCTAGATTGTAAATTTTTATGATCATCGTTACTTCTATAAATCTCATCAAACCTGTAATAATTTGACTTTGTTCTGTTTGCAGTAATCAAGAAAATACCATTAAGCTTAATCCTGAGAAGAGGCAGGAAAATTTCAGAGCCCTGCTGGTTGATGCTGCCATGCCATTTTTAGGTGGAAAAACAGAACGCTTTATCAGTGAATTGGAGCTTTTCTTGGCTTCAGCTCTGACCATTGAAGCATACGATAGAGTTTATATGCATCATTTGGAGAATTATAGCTCCATTGAAGTAAGCAGCCAAGATCACATAGTAGATTCTGATTAAGGTCATTAGTTCTGTTTTGAGGGCCTCAATAAAACTGGTTTGTTGAAAGATGTTTTTGGAATTGCATTGGCTTCCAATTGTATGATTGAGGTTATCATAATTTTATTCTTTATGACAGTTTATGTGTACAAAATTAAAAATTTTTCTCTGCAATAATTAAAGCAGAAGATAATTATAGCTCATTTCTCTGATGAAAGTCTGGAATTATGTTTGAGACTTGTCATACTTGTGCCATTTCTCTTCTGAGGCTTATCATACTTCTTTAGAAGCTATGAATATCTACAAGTTCTAAAGAGGCTTATCTGCTGAAATATCAAGTGAAATTCAATTACATTTTTTTACCATAAACTTAACTTCTTTTTTTTAATCAAAATAGTTGTAGAATTTTAGTAAAATGGAGTTTTTAAATCTTGTTTGCAGCATCTCCAATAGCTAGATAGGTCCTAAATTAAAATGTTCAATATGCATAAACATCTAACTTTTTCATATTATTTATGAATATGCTATTCATTATATCAGACATTGTCATTACCTAAAGGAAAATCATATCATACATCAGGATTAGGCCTCATTTGAGATAATTTAATTTTACCTTTTTTTTGTTTCAAAACAATAAAATTATTTTTGGATTGCTATTTATATGTGATATATTTGTAAAATTATTTTTTATGAATTTAATTTTTTACTATTTTTAAAAGCTTTTTAATATTAAATTCTCCGTTAGAAATCTACACTCTCAAACAAAATTTTTAATTCTACTTTTACAAAAGGCAACGGGTAATCAAATGAAGCATTAATCTACTCTTATTTATTAACTTATCAAATATTTCTGTAAAAAAAAAAAGAGAAGACCAATTAGTTCTTTTCTTCATTGGAAGAAAATTCAACAAGAACTCATATGCCATTCATTATATCAGACATTTTCATTACCCAGAGGAAAATCATATCATACATCAGGATTAGGCCTCATTTGAGATGGCTTAATTTTATCTCTTCTATTTCGAAACGATAAAATCATTTTTGAGTTGCTGTTTGTATGTGTCATTTTTGTAAAAATTTTTTTTATGGAACGTCATTTTTGTAATGTTTTCAAAAGCTTTTTAATATTAACTTTTCTGATAGAAATGTTCATTAACTCAAACAAAATTTTTAAAACTACTTTTTATAGGCATTAGGTAATCAAATGAAGCCTTAATCTACTCTTATTTATTAACTAATCAAATATTTCTGTATAAAAAGAAGACCCATTAGTATTAATTGCTTTTGAAAATTAAAAAAAAAAAGAAGAAAATAAAATAATATTAGCACCATGAATGATGAATTTGATGTTACAATTTATTACTAAGACATATTCAAAATTTTCTATTATAAAAAAAATCAAAATATTTTATTAAATGACACATCTATTTAATAATTTTATCATACTTATCCCTATAATAGCAACCACAATTTAAAAAGTAAATAAGACAATAGAAATAAATAGATTGAATAACCAAAAATAAATCATCAAAATAAGCAATTATCACATCATTTAATGAATCTTTTATTAAGTTCATAAAAAAGTACTTATTAAACCATATTCAGTAATATAAACAAATAAACATATCATCATTATTCAAAATACCAAATATCTCCCATATGTTACCAAGTTTTAGTAGTTCAGTAGTTTACTATTAAAATGACTCTTTTTACCATTAAAAATTGTAATATAACAGAATAGCTGATATTCCAATATGAGAAATACATCACTGACAGTACTAAAATCACTAAAACAAGTAGGCAAGTGAAAAAGAGTCATTTTGATATTAAATCAATGAAAGTTGAATGGGAAGATAGGCATTCCATATTTTGCCAAACCTTAGGATCCTCTATGGTAGCTAATTTTAGGTGAGATAAATGACAATTACCCATGAAAGCTGCAAAGAACATGGACTCTGCATTCCTATCAGCGCTTCGCTTGGATCCTCACTGAGAAAGTCTACCAGCACATGGATTTGTTACAGGAGTCGCGATAAGGATCAATCTGAGGTAAAACTATGGAACGATAATGTTCCAAATCAGGTATACACAAAGATTCATTCATCTCGCAAAATGCGTAACGAATCGCCGACCCAGACAGTGTATGTTCTCCAATGTGAACAATCACACGGGACAGATGCGCATAGGCAGCCAACTCATAAAAGAAACAAGAAAAGATGCAAGCCAATTTCGACCATGGAAACCCTAAATCTTGGACTGAAAGATCCCATCAAAACAATCTGTACACCTTCAAGTCATCTTGCATGGAGAGTAATAGAGCTAATCAAAGGTCAATCATAAGTCGACGCAAAGATATGAGAGGATACTGGATGCTCTTCTCTTGGATCTTTCACTGACCTTCCCCTTCTCTACAAGAAGCTTCTTCAGGCTAGGGCAGCTGGAAATTACAGTTGCTATGCCTGAAGATGTTACAGATGGGCAGTAAACCATGTGGCAGGTTTCAAGTCTAGTGCATCCTTTCACCAAGTGAGCTAAACCTGCATCAGTTATCTGCCGACAGTGCGATAACACAATCTCTTTAAGAATTGGGCACCCTTCACCTAGCTCGGCAAGCGCAATGTCCTTCAAGTTCTGTAGAAAAGACAATGTATAATCAAAGAATCCACACAAATTTAATAAAGGAACATTTCATTATTTAGAGATTAAAATCGCGTTATAGAAACTGATGATTTCATCGATTCCGTTGCGTGATAATGAAATCATTACATGTGAGGGGTTATGGAAGATATAAATCCATCCTGCTTGTTGAATATATAAAACCAAATCATGAAACATTGAAAAAAAAATGATGAGAGGGTTCAAATTACTCTTTCCTGGTTTTAGAGACTAAAATTAAGTTGACAACTAAGTATCCCTAAAAGCGCTTGAGAGTACCAACTTTTCTCCAAAACATTCTCAAATATGATCCTAAAAAATAATAACAACTCGATATAAAGCATACCACAAAAAATAAGGGCTCTTTGTTTTACAAAATCACATTTATGAGTTTCTATTACCAGTAACAATGAGCACAATGCATACCGGAAATCATGTGAAATTTTGCAAAATTTATATGCATGCAAGATGGCCACCAAATCTGCCAAGAAAAAAGATCAGTTGGTTTATTGGGCAATGGGTTATAGCAATACAATTCTTAGGCATAATTGGCAAAATCATCACTGAATTCAACAAAGTGCACTCAAGATGCTTAATTCTCAAATAATGAGAAAATTTAAGAGTTGGGTACGCATGAATGAGGACAACTTAATCTGTAGAGGAATAAAATACATGAGGAATTCAAAAGAAAAATGCAGCATACAAATTATAAAAAAAGCCTACAATAATCCCACAAACTATTTGTATGTGACCAATTTAGCCACATAATATCAAATTTCTCCAATTTAGCCCATTACAACAACAACAACATCAAGCCTTTATCCCACTGTGGGGTCAGCTACATGAATCATTTTTCTCCATTGCGTCTTATTCAAAGTTCAATTCTCATTTAAATCTAATAAAGAAATGACATTTCTAATATTTTCTAACCAAGCCTTTTTAGGTCTACCTCTATCTTTCTTAACATAAGTCAAATCTAATACATCCACTTTCCTAACCGGGTCATCGGAAAGCCACCATTTTCTGTGACCAAACCATCTAAGGCGACTCTCTCTAATCTTATCTTCCACTAGAGCTACTCCAACCTTTTTCACGTATACGCTTATTTCGTATCCTATCTCTAAAAGTAAAGCCACTCATCCACCTGAGCATTCTCATCTCTATAGTACTTTACTTAATATTATGCTTCTCTTTTAATGGCCAACATTCTACACCATAAAGCATTGCAGTCTAACCACCATCTTATAGAATTTTTCCTTAAGTTTGAAGAGGACTTTTCTACCACACAACAAGCTCGATGCATTCCTCCACTTTAACCATCCAACTTACTAATAATATCCCCATATATTTCACCATCACTTTGAACAATAGACCCAAGATATCGTAAACGTGTACTCTTATTAATGATTTGATCACCCAAAGTCGCAATCCCCCTACTAGATCTATTATTACTAAAATTATACTCCATATATTCAGTTTTAGATCTACTTAAACGAAAGCCTTTAAACTCTAAGGTTGACCTCCATAATTCAAGTTTACCTTCAACTCCCTCTCTAGTCTTATCAACAAGAATATCATTAGCAAAAAGCATAAACTAGAGTACAACCTCTTGCAAATGTCTAGTGAGATTATTGATGACTAAAATAAAAAGATATGGGCTAAAAAGCTGATCTTTGATGTAATCCAACTAAATTAGAAAAATACTTGGTCAAACCAACTTGTGTTTGAACACAAGTAACAACCCGTGCATACATATCCTTAATGACTTTAATATAAGCATTATTAACCCCTTTCTTTTCTAGAACTCTCCATAGAACTTCTCTTGGAACTTTATCATATGCTTTCTCTAACTCAATAAATATTATATGTAGATCCTTCCTTATTCTCTCTATACTTCTCCATCAAACCTCTCAATAAATGTATAGCCTCCATAATAGACCTACTCGGTATGAATCCAAATTGATTTTGAGAAACATTAGCATTAAGCCGCAATCTATGCTCCATAACTCTCTCCCATAGTTTTAAAGTATGACACATTAACTTAATTCCTTTATAATTTGCACAATCTTGTGCATCACCTTTATTCTTAAAAATAGGAATCAACACACTCATTCTTCACTAATCTGACATCTTTTTAGTCTTTAAAATAATATTAAAAAGTTTATAAGTCAAGAAATTCCATCATCTCCTAAGCATTTTCACACCTCTATTGGAATATCATTTGATCCAACAACTTTTCCACACTTCATTTCCTTTAAAACCTTTATAACTTCCATTTTACTAATATATAAATTAAAAAAAAATTATTTTCATTTAGGATGCTAAGGTCACTAAAGTCAATCGCATTCTCATAATCTTCATTGAAAAGTTTAGAAAAATATCTCATCAACCTTTGTTAAATATTCTCTTCTAATAAAAGCATTTTTTTATCTTCATCCTTAATACACTTCACTCAAACTAAATCCTTACAACTTTTATCTCTTTGTTTGACTAACTTATACATATATCTTTCGCCCTTCTTAGTTTCCAATATATTATATAAATCATTAAAGCTAAAATTTTTGCATCACAAATTACTTACTTAGACTCCTTACGAACCTCTTTATATCTTTCTCAATTATAAAAAAATTTACAGATGAACCAATTTTTATAATAAATTTTTTATTTTTATCTTTTCTTGCACATTTTGATTCCACCACAAACTATTTTTACTATTAGTAGCTTTTTTCTTTGATACTTCAAGCACATCTTTTGCAACATGTTTAATATCACTAGCTATTTTTTTCCACATAATATTAGTTTGTTCATGCACAAACAAAATCTTAAAATTTAGAATCTTACTCTCAAAAATATTTTTATTAATATTCTTTAAATTCTCCCATCTAATCCTATAACAACGTTTTACTTTATTTTTTATTTTCTACCATTCATCATAAAGTCCAAAACTAATAAGCAATGTTGGGTACATAAACTTTCATTTGGAATAACTTTACAATCTTTGCAATATAAACGATTTATTTTTCTTAAAAGAAAATAATCAATCTGAGTTTTATTATATCCATTCTTATAAGTGATTAGATACTCATCTATTTTCTTAAATAAGGTAATAGCAATTACAAATTCATAAGTTAAAGAAAAATCTCAAAAGCCCATGAACTAAACAAAATTAATCCTAAACAACCCATTAGATAGAAATTAAGTAAAATTGGGATAACAAAAAAAAGTAAAATTGGGATACAAAATTGATTAAAATTTTGCCATAAAATTGATCATAATTTAATGTTAGGGAATGTTTGGAATTAATTTTGTACAATCAAGTGACTAAATAGAGAAATATGATATTCTAAGATTAAATTGACCTGTTATGAATAGTCAGTGGATTATTTTGGACTTTTTCACTACAAATTAGATAGTAATTTGGCCAATAAAGGAGCAGGATATCTAAGAAGTCTTGCAAGGCTAAAGAAGAAAAAAAGAAAGCTAAATTCATGTATGACCATATTTCAGTGTGAGATGGTGAATAGCATGCATCTAAAGATACAAGGCACAAGGACAGTCTTAGCTTTCATTGTCAAAGCAGGCGAGAGCAAGAGATAAACCTGGAGAACGCTTATATCAAGACAAATGAGCCCTGGGCAGCCCCTGGCAATAGCAGTAATCCCAGCATTTGTAATTTGATGGCATCCGCTTACATTCAAATTTTGGAGGGGGCAACCCTGGCCAATGGCAATAAGTGCCTCGTCACCAACCCTTAAGAATTATGAGAAATTAGTTTCAAATCATCAGAAAATTATAAAAAATTAATATACTACAATTTCATACAGAATAAGGGAGTAACTTTGGACATCATTGTACATAAGAGAAAAATATATGGGATGCCCGAGTAAAAATCGGTAGCGTTCATATTTCTGGAAAAAACAATAAAATTCATGCCAGTTTGTTAGAAGATAGACAAGATATTGAGCACACATTTTCCTTAATGAGCAAGTCAAACAATACATAACCATGTCTTCTGGCCACAGCTTTTTCAGTGAAACTAATTTTCCCAGAAATGAGCAATGAGCATTGTCAGCTGGACTGTCCTTTATTGATCTGATATTATCAAATTTGATGCACAGAAGTAGACCTTGACATGATTATTTTAGGTCCTTCAACAAACTTCTACGCCAAGAAAATTTTGCCAAATAACCATGCGCCTTATTAATAGCTCGTTGTGATGTTGTACTTGTTCATTTGATCTAAATAGGTTCATGTTGCAGAGCAGGGTTGACAGGTGCGAACAAGACATAATGGAGGCTATTAGAAAACCCATAGTAACATATGTTGGATAAAACTAACATAAGGACCAGTTGATGTATTATGTGCTAAAAATAGGACAATGTCAGCTGCAGTCTATAAAGACAAACTGCAAATTAGTCTTGCAAAAGGCTGCAGAGTTTCACTGAACCAACCACGAGTACATGTTGCAATATTTCATTTCGGGTCAAATAAAAAAGTCCATTAAGTCTGAGCCAGGCCTTCTGAATCAAATTGGAACTTTTTGTTCATGCCATGAAATGGTCACCTAGCTCCATCCTAAGCATAAAACCATATAACGGCTCCAATAACTTCAAGCACGCCCTTGTTTAAAACTGTCCTCGGTTACCAAACATTTTGGACATGCTTTGAAAGGGTTAAATTACTTCATGTCTAGCCTAAAACTTAGTTAAATTACTCAATGGTTAAATTGAAACATTACGAGCCAGCTCGCGAGCTTGTGAACCGAGCCTCATTAAGCTCGAATTCGAGCTCGTTTAATAGGCGAGCTCGAGTATAGGTTCGAGCTTGAACTCGTGGCTCGATGAGCTCGACTCGCAAGCTTGTTAACGAGTCGAGCTCGAGCCTGCTCGGCTCACTTACACCCCTAAACCGAACTCACAAAGTGGGATAAAATCTTGATGTTATTGTTTTTGTTGTTTAGGAAGTCATGTAGATTTATGGGATATAATAATGAAATGGTGAACAAAAAATATGAACTCTAAAGTGAAATCTTGAATGCATTTGATGCGAGTAAAAATTTGGGAAGAGCCCCCAAATTTTTGCAAGCAAGAGACAACCTTCCTAGATAAAAGAAAATACACAAATATCCCCAAAAATCACATCACAACAAGACATTACAAATTTATGACATAGAAACGACACCTAAAGAAGCTTGCCATTCGTCACTTTGAGAAGAAAGATACAAGTGGAAGGGAACTTGCGGAGAGAAGAACAAGATAAGGAGTTCGAGACGAAGGAGGAGAAGCTCACAAGCTTTCCTAGAGGAGAAGAGAAGCATGGAACAAGCTCGCAAGCTTTTCCAAAGAAGGAAGAAAAACCTCTCAGGTTTTTATCCAAAAATCACATTATATCCTACCTCTACAAGCCTCAAAACATCTCTAATTTATAGGCAAAGGAAGAAGCTAAACAGCCACAACACCTCCAACCAAATCCAATCAGATTTGGCGAAATGAAAGGCCAAAAGACACATAACAGCCAGCAGAAATTCTGCACAGAAAATAGGGAGAGAAGCTACGGGAAACCCAACCAAAAGCCACGGGAAGCCCAGCCAAACGACACGGGAAGCCCAGCCAGCAAGGGACCCAAAGAGCCAGCACAAGAAACAGGGCAACAGAAACCGAGAAGAGCAAGCAGCCTAAGGCCCCAAACCGAGAACAACAAGCATCCCGAGGCCCCAAACCGAGAATAGCAAGCAGCCCAAGGTCAAGAAGAAATTCAAGATGATTTGACCCCCCCTGCCTACGTCAAATTCTCCTCCGGTTGAAAGAATTCATCTCCTGATGAAACTTGAGTTTGTTTTGAATCTTGACCTGAGGCTTCCGAAGGCTGATTGCATGGACTATGACTAATAACTCAAAAAAAAAAAAAAAAACAAAACTTACATGACACCAAGACTCATACAACAACTTGACTCAATGACTTAAGATATACCAACTTGCTCTGATACCAAATTAATGCGAGCAAAAATTTGGGAAAAACCCCAAAATTTTTGTAAGCAAGAGACAAACTTCCTAGATAAAAGAAAATACACAAGTATCCTAAAAAATCACATCATAACATGACATTACAAATTTATGACATATAAACGACACCTAAAGAAGCTTGCCATTCGTCGCATTGAGAAGAAAGATACACGTGGAAGGGAACTTGCGGAGAGAAGAACGAGATAAGAAATCCGAGACGAAGGAGGAGAAGCTCGCAAGCTTTCCTAGAGGAGAAGAGAAGCATGGAACAAGCTCGCAAGCTTTTCCAAAGAAGGAAGAAAAACCTCTCAGGTTTTTATCCAAAAATCACATTATATCCTACCTCTACAAGCCTCAAAACATCTCTAATTTATAGGCAAAGGAAGAAGCTAAACAACCACAGCACCTCCAACCAAATCCAATCAGATTTGGGGAAATGAAAGGCCAAAAGACACATAACAGCCAGCAGAAATTCTGCACAGAAAACAGGGAGAGAAACTACGGGAAACCCAGTCAAAAGCCACGGGAAGCCCAGCCAAAAGTCACGGGAAGCCTAGCCAGCAAGGGACCCGAAGAGCCAGCACAGGAAATAGGTCAGCACTTCACGGGAAAACAGCCAGGGGATAAAACCGAGAGGGAGTGACCACGGGAACAGCAACAGACAACATAAACTGAGAAGAGCAAGAAGCCCAATGCCCCAAACCAAGAACAACAAGCAGCCCAAGGTCAAGAAGAAATTCAAGATGATTTGACCCCCCCTGCCTACATCAACATTAGAAGTCAAACTTGAGTTAGTAAATTCAATTGGGTTGTTTAAGGCAACTCATATATCATTTTCTTTTTTCTGGCTATAAAAAGGTCCCTTCATCATTTTGTGGTTGATTATTGTGATTGATTGCTCATTTATCTTGACTGCACATTAAAAATGCATTTTTTTCCTAATTTTTTCTAGTGCTTTCTTTAAAGGTGGTCTAGACATCTTATGTTGTAAGCTATTAGAAAATTAAATTTTGTACCTATTAAGATGTAAGCAATCTTAAAATCCAATCATAAATAATATTTAAATAAAATTGAATAGCTTATCCAAAACTAAGCAAGCTTTTCAAAACAAAAATAAAATGAAAATCTCCTTATAGATCTTAATATGCAATTCTGAATTTGACTAATTACTTATTCATAAGACTGCTTATACATCAAACCAATATATTTAACTAATAAATATCATTGAATAGTTTCATGAGTCGCATATAAAAATAGCAACCCTCAAATTAAGGACTAGATAATAAAAAAATATATGAGGCAACATGCACATACCCTCAAAGTTAGTCATCTTGGCTTATGTCGCTAAATTGTAAGCCCTTTCCTAAAATCAAAACAATCTTATGCATTGAGATCAAAATTTTATAACTTTAAAGATCTTAGGTGAGTTTAATGGGTTGTACTTTCCAGCAATGATTATAAAACTAAATGTCGGGTTGAATTAACCTCAAGCGAGATTTTAAATTGTAAGCCTCATGCATTTTGGTAGACTTAGGTCTGAGTTATAAATTATTGGTGATTCTCATCTTATATTTAAGCTCCAAGACTAATGCTTTTTTCAGTTACAACATAAACCCTCACGTTTTTAAACATTTTCTTAACCTTATTTTGTTAGAACATAAGTCCCAATTTTTTAAATCAAATCGGTAAACTTAAACATTAATTTAATTTTAAAATATAAAGCTCAACATACAATAGTATTCAATAGCTCTGAGTTTCTTAAAATCAGGTACTCTTACACTTTTTTTCTTTATCATCTACTCATTAGTTCTAAGTTGATCCAGTCATCCTAGAAATTTCAAAAACCAAATCTTTCAAAGAATTTTTTGTAATCATATAGAAAAAAATAACCAGTATTTTAATAAAATAAATATAAAACATTATATTAAGAAAAAAATATTCTCAAGAGCCCAATATTCTTGGGATGTAAATAGGAGCTTTCTCTTATGAGATACCTGCACCCTAGAATAAAATAAACTATATTCAATCAAATATATCTCTAAGCATGCAAAAAATAACATACAAGTTTTGTTATTGAGTTCATATTAAAATAATATTTCTATCTCTCAGGATAGTATATTATTTTTTATACCATACTTGATCATAAAATATTTTAAATTTGTTAAGAGTAAAAAATTCTCCCATGACTACCTTTTTCATAATAGTTCTCGTAGTTGTCATCCTCTAAGCTTTACTGCACACTCTTAAGAACAACAATATCACTAATTCTGCCATGAAACGCCTCTTCAATGATCCAAAGATCTTCCACATAACCCAAAAAAACAGCCAAAGTTCTTGGTGGTAGCCACCAATAGAAACTCTAAAGTCTCGTCATGAGCATCTTCTCTCCAACTGTCAAATTTCAATGCATTATTTATCACAATACATGATTTTCGCATATTATGAATATCATTTTTATCATTCTTATGTTCATACTCTAGAGGATTAAGCTTGTGGATGTCAATCTTATCCTTTTACATCTCTCCACTCATACAAATATGTTGATGTTTATAATTCTTTTTTGCATAGTATGATTTGTAAGTCATACCATTATGATGTTGGCAATGATCACCATGAAAATTGTAATTTTCGATAGATCACATAAATCATTCTCTTATATTTATGAATACGATGATCCATCGCTTTCTCATCATCAAAGGTTCCAAAAGTTATCCTCTACAAAATATTTTGGTGATGCCCTTACATGAATGTGTTCAAAGAAGATTCTTTCCATCAGTCACATAAAATTCATACAAGTTCCATGCATTCCTCTTAATCAACATTATCTTGGAAACTTTTTAAGTTTAACACTATGTGCCAAAATTTTATCATCCTTCTCATTAAGATGATGGTCATTATAAAAGTATTTATGATGTCACGTCTTTATTGAAGATGAAGTGGACCTTCAAAATAATTATGAGTTGGTAGCACTCAAGTCTACTATTGTTCACGAGGTAGAGTGGGGGATAATAAGAGAGCTTAAATCTGATGAAGTGTTTGAGCTTGAGACAATGTTTCAGGTAAACTCTAATGATTATGACATGTAGATATATGTAAGTGTCACAAAGCATGTATTCTTCTCCAACTTCTTAAAGTTACCCTTGTTTCAATTTACTTGCCACTACTTCAAGAGACGTTATTTAAGATGATTATAATTTGCTTAATTCACACATAAAAGAGATTGAACTATGCTGTCATCGCCTCCTAGTCAACTAGGCCTCTAGAATTTTGTTTGCTTTTCGGATTTCTCCATACTATTGCTCCTCACACATCAGGAAACTCTTCAGAGACAATTCTTTACAAACTAGGTGAATTGATGTCGTACAAAAAAGATTGGTTAATTATTTAGCCAAATTAGGCCACAAAAAACTAGTTTATTATACGCTAGTTATAAATATTCAACAAGGGAACTAAACAACGATGGATTTTCAAGGCTTTTTAGAAGAACCCGCATCAATTTATGTTGAATTTTACTTGCTTTTTTTTAATTAGATTATACATAAAAAAATAAGAATAATTGCATCGTTAGTTTAGGTGATACGGATAGAAATAATCTTATCCTTATCTTATGATTGTTTGTCTTTATAAAATAAGATTGCTTTTAAGGGCATTGCATTATTACTAATGAATGAATTATCGATGAGATTAGTTATGAGTGCTATTCACTCTTGATCCAAATTATATACACGAGTCACTCCAAGTTTGTGTTTCCCTTTTGTCTTCTTCTACTCTACATCTCAAAGTTTTGCAATCCTTCTTACTGTAATTGCTCATTAATTTATGTTCGTCAGCTTGAGTTACAAACCCCAAGCATTTCACAATCAACATCAACCTTTTGTAATAATCCTTTCTAAAGGGATGAGTCAAACTACTTTTAAATATTAATATTTATGTTGCTTTTTGATATGCTCTTTGTTAGTAATTATTTAGTTCACTATGTAAAATATCTTCCATAAAGTTGTGTTATGCATGCTGTTGAATAGTTTAAGACCTTGTAATATTTTCTTTATTTAAGTATTTATGTATTAAAGGATTCATGTCATGATCTTTCTTTATTAGAAAGATAGGAAGACCTAAAAAGGCTTGGTTAGAAAATATTAGAAATGATATTTCTTTATTAGATTTAAACGAAAACTTAACTTTTAACAGGACACAATGGAGAAAAAGGATCATGTAGCCGACCCCACGTAGTGGGATAAAGGCTTGATGTTGCTGTTGTTATTGTAGTACTTATGGTGTTATAAATTGCTAGGCAAACAAGCACGCATGATTTAGTTTCACCTCAAAGCAAAAAAAAAAACCATGCACAATGATATGAAGCAAGAGCAATACTATGAAATAAAGTCTGAGTGTTCAAAATAGATGACTTTACTTGTATTATGAACAAGAAATACAAGTAGATTGGTAGAGGATGTTTACCTATCACAAAAACGAAGGCTCAAGTCAGTCAAAGATAAGCAATTTTCACCAACAGAGATAACACCGTGATCTCCAACCTTGAAAAAATTAGAAAATGAAATCAAAATCTGATGTTCAAAACTTAGCATAAATCATATTTGTTGGCTGCAGAACCTGAAATTAAACAAGTTGAAATAAAACATGTTCAACTTAAATTATACCAAGAAAGTGAAAATGCAGTAAGCTGTTATAATTTTTTAAGGTTGACCATGGGAACGGCAATCATATAGGCTATATCTTATGCTTGCATTATCAATATGTACGGATATACAAACTCTTTATGTAAGTTTGAAAAGGACATGGATGATTAGCATGCTTCGCCTTATAGGAAGCACCATAGTAGCTAAGCCATCAATGGAATGCATACAAGATGGATAGGACATGGGGATCTTTTCAATAGACGATAATGAAAGGTTTAAACAAATTCATCTATCAACTTCGTTGATTGCTTAGGAAAAGTACCCCTCGAACCTCCTTGACTTAATGAGACAATGGCAGCAACTTTTCATGGCGTAGATTGAGTCTATTTAAATTGTATCCTTTAATTATTGAATCAAGATCTAAGGTCAAAAATTATAATGAGCACAAAACCCCATGAATAATTACCCTCTTCAAATCATGACAGAAAACTCCCAATCATATGATCCCTATGATCAATTGTGGGCTCCAAAAATTCGCGCCCCGGCCTCTGTCCGCCTTTTTTGTCGACAAGGAGAGTTTTAAAAAGTTTAAGGTTCCAGGGGAAATTTTCATAAAGCAGATTAAATTTTAGACAAGACACTACTTAGAGATTTCGCCCTCATTTTGTGAGGACAGATCTGGTTTCCTATGGGGGCAAGCCCCTATAGTTAATTACCCCTCTCAATAACAAGAAAACAATTTCGATTAAGGCTAGTCGTTGGATAGGGACTGAGTACCCAACGTATAGTAGCAACAGCTTTAGCGCTTTAAGATCAAATTTGGGGGGTCTTAAGATTTGAAACTTATTATTGTATACTAAAAGCGGGTGATGGGAGAATAATGACGGATTCGATCAAGATCTCATGATTCCATCATCCCAGACTGTTATAGTCCCTAATCTACTTAGTAAAAAGAAGTTAGTCAATCCAACCTAATAGAAAGATCCTTGTTAGCAGCTAAAGGTTGCGTCATCCAAGATAACTTTGTAGACTTAGGGTGAGTTTTTATCTAAGGGACAAATTCAAGTCGACCTTAGCTTACAAAGGGCTTAATGCCCTATTGATTATACCCTATAATTCATTACTCAATAGTAATTTAACCATTGGGAAACATACAAGCTCTGGTTGTGACTATAATTTAGTGGTAACATTTGGCAGTAAAACTAGTCGGTCAAAGGGCCCAGATCATAATCGTTTATCTGTGGTGCCATTTGACGACGAAACTACCAATTAAAGGACACATGTCACGTCCTTATCGGCAAGAGATGGTTTGAGAATGAATTTGTTTCAACTGGACATTCGTTCTTTATGAGTTGAAGTGATTTTCAAATTTATACAGCTCAACAAACTATTGCAAATGTTGAATGAACTTTTGATTTAATATGTATGTGATTAATTTCTTCTTGAATATTTTAAATTTTAGTGATTTTTAAGTTTGAAATTTTTATTAAAATCAGAGCTCCTTAATGATTAATTTTGAGATTTAGGAGTATTTAAAAGGTAGAGGCCCTTCTATTTGATATTAACTTTCAACATGACCATCATCGAGGTTTGTGGATAATTTCATTTTATTAGTCAAAACTTATTGACTTTGTTTGCTTGCCAATAGACGATCGGGTTCGACAATCGATTTTAAGGGTTTTCATATAGGTAGCAGGACCGAGAGCCTGTATTTTAATATATAAGTTTTCTTCATTAAAGACCTTGAAGAACTAATGTAAACGTATAAAATTAAATACTTCGTTTAATTCAACGAGCATCGGTTCTAAGAGTTTATGTTTTAAATAGAGAACATTTCTTGTAAGAGACCTTTAAGACCTAATGTGAACATTAAAATCAAATACTCTGATTAATTCAACAAGTGTCAGTCAGGAGAATTTGTGTTTTACTGGGCGAATCTTTCTTATAATGCGTCTTGAAGGCTTAATATAAACGTATAAAATAAAATACTTTGATTGATGCTACGGTTGTGTATTCGTTCAATAGTTCAAGTCGTGTCAACTTTGGTCCATTCAAGGAGGAGAATTGGACATAAACCTATGTTTACTTTGACCCGTGCAACATTCTTAGACCTTAAGTTTGAAAATCTAGCATGGCCCTCAGGGCACATGCGGGTAATTTAAGTTTCACTTTAAGTGATATGTGAATGATTGTGCATTTGCATAATATGTTTGCACACTTTTAAGGGTGATAAAATTAAAGCTCATTTACTATTTTTTATTCAACGCAGCATCCTCAACGTCACTTTTAGGGTTGTAAGCGAACCAAACGTTCAAAGAGATAGTCGTTGTTCGGTTCAATTAAAGCTCGCTCGTGATCGTTTAATTAACTAAGCAAACAAAGTTGAACATTTTTTTAAATATTCAATCCTTAAATAAACAAGTTTGAACAATAATGTGTACGACTCATTTATGTTCACGACAACATCATTTAAAACTCGTAAACAAGCTCGATTTGTATTCGATTAAGAACTCGTGAATAAGTGATGAGGACATCAGAGATCTACGACTACGATCGTGCCTATTTATTTTGATCTATTTTATGTATTTGATTTGTTATTATTCTTTTTCCCTTTCAACCCTCACTTGAGGACTTTGTCTTATGTATGCCCTAGGGGCAATAGCGTCTTTTATTATTTTCCTTAATGTATTTGGATATTTAAAGCCTCCCTCTTCTTTTTGGAGGGTTAATGAATGATTATTATGAAAAAAGTTCCTGCGCATGTGTTCTTGAGTTGTGAGAGTTCTAGAGAGCTTTGGAGGAATCCCTAGGGAGGGAAAACGAATCACCCATCAACCTTGGAGACGGCCGGGTTCGTGATTTGTTTATCGTTTCCTTCTCCTTTTCCTCCTGGCCGCCGGATTCACTAGCCAAACCCCCACCTTAAGCCGCCGGCCACCATAAATCCACCCTCACCGTCGGCTAAACCCCACTCCACCCCCACCCGCACCTCTCCCTCTTTTCCCCTCCACCATCCACAGCCCAACCACAAACCACCGGCCCCTCTTTAACATTTTCCCTCCTTTTCTCTTATTTCCTAATATAGATTGCCTATAATTAGGATTAATTTTGAATTCAAATCCAAGTGATTTGAAATTCAAAATCTTTCCTAAAATACGAAATCTATTTTAGGAAAGTATTTAAATCTCATATCAATTCAATTTTTAATTGAATGAGATTTAATTCACTTACCTAATTGAAGATTCCCTATTAAGCAAGCCATAGACTCTTGCCTTAAATCCCTACCCCTTCTTTAAAATTATTTCCTAAAGCTCCACTTTCCTTATTTAACTTCATCTATCTTTGGAAGGAGTTTGAATTTTGAAATAATTCAAGTTCAAATCTCAAATCCTTCTTATTTCATTAATCCTATCTTTGGAAAGGCCATTAAATAAATCAATTAATCCAAATCTGAATTAATTGAGCCATTAATGTCTTAACTCCAAATACATTGAACCTAAACACCCTTTCTTCTCTCTCTCACCTGGCCGAAATTCCCATGTCCCCACCAATTAAATTCCTTCCATAAGGAAGTCTCTCTCCTTTGGAAAATAATCCCAAATCCCCCCTCTCTCTCTCTCCTATCACCCTCTCTCCCCAATTTAATTTGGGATCTAATTGAACTTGCCACCTAAGCAATCAAATCTATCCCAAGGCTACTCCTGCTGCCGTTCACTAATTCCCCCCACCATATTCCTTACTTCCTGCATCCAGAGATCTGAAAATCTGAAGTTCTCCCAGTCAAGTTCAGACTTCTGAACAAGTCCTATGAGCTGTCCAAGGGATCCACAGCTTTACAAGCTACTGTCCATGCCGTTACAACTGTTGTCTAGCATTCCATGATTGAATAGTTTGCTGTCCAGAATTTTCTAGACATAGAAGTGTGTTGTCCACAGGTTCCTCCAACCACCAACTGTTGTCCTACACCCTAGGAGGTCTGAAATTGCTGTTCAAAAGCCTCCAGCAGCCTATAACAGCTGCCCAAGGTTTATACAAGCGTTGGAGATTGCTGTCCAGAATTTTCCAAGTGTCAAAGCAGCTGTCCAACATTCGTAACCATCTCATATTGTTGTTCCGCCAGTTTTAAAATCAGATTGCTGTCCAAAGACATCGAGAAGAATCAAAGGTTGCTGTCTACTTCCTCTCAAGCACATAAACACCACACCGGAGCCTTGTTTGTCGTGTTTATTTGGGTGAACTTTCCTCCTACTCTTTTATCTTTTAGTCACTCTCAATTGTAGTTATTAATTGCCTCATGAAAAGTTGTGTTGATTCTTCCCGCTAAAGCCTAGTATTTATTAGGAGTTGTGTGAGAGATCTTGCATAGCACTACTCTTATTGTTAGATTAGGGATTTCTTGTTGAAACCCATTTCGTTTGCAACGTCAAGAGTAATTGATTGTTATGTGATTTTTACTTTTTGCAGGTGACTTGGCCGAAGCTTTTGTTATCGCTTTTTTGTTTTATTTCATTGTCTAAATCAACATCAAGCTCTAGTTAACTTGATCTTAATCATCAAGTGTGCAAAATCCTAATCTAAATCATCTTGGTCATTATGTTCTACATCAATAAACTCATTAAAAACTCGATTAATATTTGATTATAAAATTGATAAACATACATAATATAAATATTTTATATTTATTATAACATAATGATATAATAATTTTTAATTAATAAATTTTATGAACAAGAAACGTTTGTTAATATTTGCTAGATTATTTGTTTAAAATGTTCAATAAGCTGATGTGATGCTTCATGGTGTACAAACTTTTCAAAGTTATCTTTCACATTACATGTAATAAGCGGAAAATGAGTCTGAATGAACCAATAAGCTGATTCTACTGCATCACAAACAATTCAAAATTAAAGAAGATAGTATAACTTCAATATTTAAGAGTATAACATATACAGGAATCCCTATATTTTTTTCTAAATGCAATTTTTTCAACCATCTCAACGACTTATGTTTTAGTGTCCGACAATCTAAAAGTAAACACTGATAATGTGAACTTTAAAAGAAATAATTACCTGATAGCAACGGCGAATATGAAGTTTCTTTAGATTTCTGCAACCTTTAGCTATACTACAGAGAGCTTCATCATCTATATTTGAACAATCCACTAAGTCAAGAGCCTGCAAATGTAAGCAGCCTTTGCTAATCTCGTGAAGCGCACTATTCCTGATCCTTGGACAGTACAACAGTGCCAAGTCCAGAAGTTCTCTGTTAATCATGACACAAAAAATGTACTATGATTTTCAGAGATAAAAAGATTAAAATTCATGTCCTATTTTTTCATGTTTAAATTTCATGTCGTATTCATCATATATACACAATTTGTTAAGGTAAGTCATTTTCAGATATGCAAAAAGCTCGTATCTAAAGAATCATGTGGTCAAGTGTAGCAACCACTCCATCAAGAAACTGCCAGTAAAGAATATCACTCCTGTTGCAGTAAACCTCTACACAAGCTTTTTGAAAGAAAAAAAAGAATCAATTGATATATAGTCAAGTGCAGTTTAAAACACTATCAATCTACCTAAAGAATTTCTTCCTGTGTTTATGGATAATTTGAAATGAAAGGAAGCAAACACAAGGTGGATGGAAGAACTTATACAAGTAAATAAGCCCTCCAGGTTTTGCGATCAAATTTTATTGTAGGATTTGATGGTCTTCCTTGGAATTTAGATGGCTTAATACGGTTTCGGAAACATTTTGGCAAATCTCGTTAGATGTTGAGTATAATTTTAATTAAAGCAATTGTCAATCATTCTAGTTGAGCTCTCAATTTAAATGGTTGAGAGGTGAAGGGGCAGGAAAGCTGTAAGGAGAGGGATAACAAGGCGTGTTTAAGTTTCAATTAATTCCTCATAAGCTCTTTAAAGGTAACAAGATTGCATTATTGGCCTTCAATTATAATGAGAGCAAACAAAACCCTAAGCTAATCTAAACAAACATAATATCATTTAATTCTCGCTAAAAAAATTGTCACCTTCCCAACTACAAAGTGTTATCAAAACCCAGTGTACCTTCTAGAAGCCCTTCCTAAATTGATTGGCTAAGCCATTTTTTGTTATTTTTGTTATATAGTTCTTCTGCGCCGTCATCACTTCTACTTTATAAAGAATTTGTTCTCCATCATTCAACAATAGTTGATTCTTCTTTGGAGCTGTTAGTATTAAAGTACATTGAACAAGAAGGATCTCTACATTTGAAGAGTGGTATACATTAGTTGGGTGCGCCCTCAAACATTGTATTCAATCCTCAACTATAAATAGGGATGATCACTAGTGAGTAGTGAGTAAGACACATTAATTTCTCCCCTAATGTTGGATCATAGCCACGTTAGCTCTTGCCCAAGCTACAGTACTCCCCCTCCCCCTCCCCCTCCCTTTCTTCCATAGCTCATTATGCATGACCCACCTGCCACCCATCACAATGCTCACCCATGTGCTCACCTCCCTGCAAACTCCATACACTAGCCACAAGCTCACTCATTATTGCTTGCCCACAACCCTAGGGCATGACACCTGCATGGCTCACATAGTATCTATGATCCAAGTTACCACTTAGATTTGCCTCTATTTCTCTTAAACAGTGACAGCCTCTCCTAAGCTCTCCATGAGTCAAAACTCTCATTTTTCATCAATATAAACATAAAATTCAAGTGTGCCAATTAGGGGTGTAAGTGAGCCAAGCCGGCTCGAGCTCGACTCTTTTATGAGCTCGCGAGCCAAGCTTATCGAGCTTGAGCCGGCTCGGCTCGTGAACTTGCGAGCCTGCTCGAATATATATTAACATTTTTAAAATAATTTTATTTTATTTATTAATTTTAAATAATAAAAATAATAATAGAATCACATAAAATTTATTCAAATGTTAAACATTTCATATTTTTTTAAAAATTTTGTCTAAGTTTTAAAAATCCAGGTTAAATTTTAAAAATCCCGCCTAATTTTTAAAAAAATTTAAAATCTAGCCTAAATTTAAAAATTCCTGCCCATGGCTGGCGAGTCGACTCGAGCTCGTTTATAGTGAGACGAGCTCGAGTTCGAGCTCGCTTTCCATCTAACGAGTCGAGCTCGATAAGGGCCTAAACTCGACTCGACTCGTTTACACCCCTAGTGCCAATTGTGTGAAAATCCTTAATTTTTTTAACGAAATTTTTTTATCGACAATAATCAAAAAATTATTTCAGGAGTCTGTATAAGTCCAAATCACAAATCGTCTTCGTCATAATATATATAATATTATGTTTTAGTTTCATTAATTTTTTCATAATTTTTGGGTTTAGGTGAAATTCCTTAAGAAATTGACACTTATCGGTTCAAGTAAGGATTTTGAGACCATTAGGTGGCCGTTTTACAAACCGATTTCACCATTCTTTGAAACATGATTCGCTAATTTATAATTTTTTTTTTTAATTTATGGATCACCAGATTTGACGATATCAAAAGATTGAGCTAAAATTGAAATTTTAATATAATTATAATGGGGGTGTGATGCATGATATCTAGATTTAACCTAGAGCATTGTTTTTCATCTCCAATTCTAAACATAGTGGATCTCTAATGAAAAAGATAATAATTTCCTCCTCTAACAATACCCTCAGCGCAACACAGTTCTTCATGTAACTCTCCATATAGAGATAGAGAAGCACTTGTGCATATTTTGAAGTTGCGCTTGATCTTAAAGTAGCTCACAATTCAGACCATAAAGTGGGATTAGTCTTTATTATAGCCCCAAACTGGCTTTTAACTTGTCCTTGACCTTTGATATAATCGCTTGATATTGCAGCCAACTTGATGTAACTTAAACAATTGCTCGGGTGTCGTCATACTAACCTCTAAGAGAGCTTCCCATTTAAAAGATTTATCCCCACATTATTAACTTCTTTCTTTTCGAGAATTCTCCATAGCACTTCTCTTGAAACATTATCTATGCTTTCTGTAAATCAATAAAAAACACATGTAGATCCTTCTTACTCTCTATATATTTCTCCATCATACCTCTCAACAAATGTATAGCTCTATAGTAGACCTATCTAGCATGAATCAAAACTGATTTTGAGAAATATTAATATCACATCGTAGCCTATGCTCAATTACTCTCTCTCATAATTTTAATGTATGACACATAAACTTAATTCCTCTATAATTCTCACACTCGTATGCATCACTTTTATTCTTAAAAATATGAACCAAAATACTCCACTTATCTGGCATATTTTTAGTCTTCAAAATAATTTTAAAATAGGAAAATCTCAATATAGTCCTCAGACTATTCGTACATGGCCAATTTAGTCCTAGAGTATCATGTTGCCCAAATTTTGTCCCTCGTCTATATAAAATGATACAAAATAATCCCTCATGTTGTAATTATGATATAAAATTGATCTCAATTTAGTCCCTTGACTTAACAAAATTGATCACAATTGGGCTATTTCGGATCAATTTTGTATAGTTGAGGGACTAAATTGGAGAAAACGTTATACTTTAGGACTAAAATTAGGGGTGTCAATTCAGGTCAACGGGTCGGGTTTGGGTCGAACTCGAAACTGACCCGACATTGTTCGGGTCAACCCGAACCCAACCCATTTTTAAAAACGGGTCAAGTTTCCGGACCCGAACTCGACCAGATTCGGGTTCGGGTCAACCCGGCCCGACATGAATGACCCGAAGTTGACCTAAAATTGCTAGTTTTCATGTCAAAATCGGGTCAATCTTCGATTTTTCAGGTCAAAATCGGGTAAAAACGGGTCAATCTCGGGTTTCCGGGTCAAATAGGAGTTTTCGTGTCAATTTCGAGTCAATAAGAACCCGACCCGATTTTTAAACTCACAACTTCATTGAAAATTTTATTAAAATATCTCATCGACATATGTTGAATATCCTCTTTTAATAAAAGCATTTTTTGATCGTCAATCCTTAATACGCTTCAATTGAACTAAATCATTATTTCTCCTATCTCTTTAATTTGCTAACTTATGCATACATTTTTGTCCTCCTTAGTATCTAATCTATTATATAAATTATTAAAAGCTGAATTTTTTGTATCACGTATTGTTTTCTTACGCTCCCTATAAGCCCTTCTATATCTTTCTCAATTTTCTAAGCTTTACAACTAATTCTTATAACAAATCTTCTTATTTTTTATCTTTTCTTGCACATTTCATCACACCACCAACTATTTTTACAAAAACTTCATGAAATCAACTTAAAAAATATTAAGGGTATTCCCCGTTAAGATGTTCTAGTAAACGCTAGTTTCACCTTCAATGAAACAAAAACCAAGTAACAAAGGTACTCGAGTTCTACAAAAGGCATAAAATTTTACAAAGAGAAAATGAAAAGGTTTTGTAATGTAGTGTGGCAGGGGCTGACCACATTTCTCGTTAAATCAATTATAAACATGCTACATTTTATGAACTGAGTTGTGACATGAAGGCTAAATAAGTATTTAAAGCAAGTCCTAGAATTGAACTATGCCTTTATTAACTTTAACCAGGGCAAAGTCATCAGTTTCTTTAAAATAATGACATACATGAATGATTTTCGCCGTTGAAAATTGAAGATAGACACTGAAAATCACCATTCTTAAGGCATGTATTTGTAATGGTAATTTTAAATGATCAAAGAAAGGACAGGTTTTAAACTTTCATTCAGCAAATAATAATAAATAAATTTAATAAAGCAAAATCAATATTTGTTTGCTAGAATCTATAGATGCTCGTCTTTCCCAAGATAAAGTCTTAAAAGCATCTCTAAACCTCAAAATTATAAACTAATCAAGTGGCATTTCTTGAAAAAGCAGGGTTGCTTCATTAAACTAATTATGACATCATAGAAAAGACCTGCACAAAAATGTATTAAGTCTGAAATTTTATCAAGAAATATGATACATAAATTGTCATGTTTCTCATACTCTGCTTTCCATTTATCTTATAATTTCAAATTGCTCAAACAAAAAAAGTTTTTAAAAATAAAAAATTGGCGTTAATAAAAATGTATAGATGCTTTAATAAATTACTTTTAGTTGTACATCAATAAGCTGCGAAAGTACCTTAGATCCTTAACTTGATTAGAGAAAGGACGTTTCTTCAAATTGAAGATTTAGCAAGTAATAACGAACGCAAATACGTACATACAAGCATGCAAATAGAAATATATATAATTAAAAAACCACTAGTAAGGCAGACCATCAGCATCTTTAAGGACATGAACATACGGGCAAGATTTTCCGATGTTCTCCACACCAAATGTTTCAATGTGGTGGCAGCCATTGATTTCCAAGCGTTTTAATTTGGGACAGCCACGGGCAACTGATTCAAGACTTATATCACTGATGTAATAGCAGTCGCTAAGAGTAAGATCTCTTAAGTTCTTGCACCCATTACCAACAGCAGACAGGCCTCTGGAGAATCCAAAAGCATAACAATTTTTAGCAACAGACAGAGAAACGAACACCTACTGAAGCTAGAAAAAATTCATGAACCGCCACAATGCCATCAGTACCAAACCACTGAACAAATGTATAACAAGCAATCAAATAAGATCTAAGCATCCGCATGCTAATCCTCTCACTACTAATCAAAAGGAAGTCCTTAAGAAGTTTCAAAAGAACCAGTACGAGAAAGCTTACAAATTATAGTTGTACATGAGAAAATAACATCAAGACTTGACACCATAAGATAGTGAAGAAAAGAGGACAAAAGAATTCAAGAATCTTTTATAACGATAAAAAAACTTCAAGAATCATGCTTCCATAATGAACTCCTGTAACAAGAAATATTTGTCTCCCAGAGAAAACTTTTTGACTGTTTAATACCATATTCTTGGATGATTATCCTCAGCACCATGCAAGGAAATTGTAGCATCCTCTATCCCAGTTAAGAAAACTCTACTGTAGATGTCTAGCTATCCTGTGGCTACTCCGAGGTCATTCTTAGCTCCTGCTCCTAACTGACAGCTTCTAGTTTTGTAGATTTCCTAAGGTTGTCCTCTGCATCAAATCCCACTTCTAAACAGCTAGGCTTATTAGAAGATAATGCAGGAAACTGATAGATTAAATGCTAATAAATAGAAAATAATGATAATTAAAGAAAGGAGAAATAGAGAACCTAATAAAAAATCCTTATGGAAAACCAAATATAGCTAGTTTTGACAGTAGCTATGTTAAAAATTCTAGAATACACTTGTTGCTGGATATTTTACTATTTTTCTTTCCAAAATTATTTTTATACAATAAGATTTGCTCTTACACCATTAATTATTTTTATAATTAACCTTGAAAGCTTACTATCATTATGTTCAATTAGATAATATAACTTAAAATTAAATTTCAAAATTTATGGGCATAAATTTTAAAATGAATTTCCTTAATAGCATTTCCAAAATTTTATTATTAATTTATTCTAAATTTTATCTATAATTCAATAAATTTTCAATAATAGTAATATATAATTTAATAATAAAATACAATCTTAAGTTTTTATTCTAATATAATAGGAATTATCATTAGCCACTATCGAGTTTTAAATTGAAAATATAAATATTCATTCTATATCTCATAATTAAATAAATTTTTATTTATATATATATAATTCACCCTTTATTCTAAAAAATCTAAAATTTGAAACTATAAAATCTCATAATCTAAATAATTAACTCTAAAATTTTCTAAAGCAAGCTTTCTCTCTGATGTCAGCCAATCCCTAGCTTTCAAACACTCGTCACCTACTCTCGCTCGGTCCCTTTCTTCCTCCCCGATTTCCCTCATCTCCCGCTATTTTATAGGACTTAAATCAATTACTCTTGTTGCAACTAAAGCAACGGTCACCTCCTTCAAAACTCCAAACGATAGAATCAATACATATTCCTCATCCTATTAGACACCAGGTAACGGAAAGCTCGTTCGCCTCCATCGCAACGCCAAATGGAAAAATTGAAGGAACTGACCGCTCCCTTTGACTTCCTCGATATTAAGCTACCCATGTCTTCATTGCGACACTAAGGGACAGAAAACTAATCAACCCTTAACCTTCATGCACACGATTCCTTGTGTTTGTCTCCTACATGACTTTTGTTGATGGAATCGATGGTTATCGGTTTGGATGTTACATCCTCTGCCTAGCAGTCGAACTTGGAGCGGAGGGAGGGCAGCCATAGAAAATCCAGAAACTAGAAGCCCTCAACTAGGACCTGGAGGAGCTAAGAAGGTCTGAGAGTTACATGTGGAACAACTAGAAATCCACAAAAGAGTTTCCTTGACTAGGATAAAAGGATGGTATAGCTGCCATGCATAGTCTGAAGACTGACATCTACAAATTTTGGTATTAAATAGAGTATTTTATAAAATAATACACTACTAATAGCTCAATATCTTAACAAATTCACCACCTTAAACATGCCCCCCAAGAAAAGCACTCCCTCTCAGATTGTAAGTGCACGATAAGGGCAACAAAACGGTTGACAGGTTGGGTTCGAGTATAACAAGAAATTGATCCGACTCAAATCCAATCAACCCAAACTCAACCAATTTAATAAACGAGTTAAAAACACCAACCCGAATCCGACCCGTTAACATGTTTTGGTTGAAAATTTTTTAGAACTTATTAACTATAAAATTTAGCATATTTGATAAAAAATAAGAAGATTATACCTACAAGAACAATAAAAAAAGGGCAATTTGTGGGTCAAAAATGGATTCGCAAGTCAACGCGAACCCACCTCATTTAATAAATGGGTTGAAAAAACCCAACCCGAACCATTTATTAAACGTGTCAACTCGAACCCATATTTTTTGGATCGGGTTGGCGAGTCTGATCATATTTTGACACCCCTAGTGCACGAGTTGACGCATATTGTAATTTTTATAGTACTAAATGGATGCATGCAGAAATAGTACGTACACTTATAAGTACAAGCATAACCAAGGAAAGAGCATAACACAATAAACACCCTGAGGTCCGCAGTTTATCTAAAGATATGACTTATATAAAAAAAATCCACTTATTCATGCTTATCCATTTAATGAATCCAAAAATATGCCAACAATAGAAAATAAATGGACTAACTGATAGTGCAGAATAGAACCTGTCTGTAAATCTTTGGAAACTATACAAAGCCAGCAATTCTAATGATGAACAAAAAGAACCAACAGCTTCCAAAGCTTCGTCCGTAATGTTAATACACTGCAACTTCAAACCCTTCAAAGCTCTGCAACCCTGGGCAACTGATATTAAACCCTTATTCATTACTAATTCTGAGTCCAGAGACAACGTCTCAAGGCTGGAGCAGTGGAATGCTACAGCCTCCAAGGTGACATCAGTAATCCAAGCACAAGCTGCAATGCCAAGAGACTTCAATGATCTCCCACAATGCCGGGCCAAACCAACCAAGCCTGTATCCGTTAAACCTTCACAAAATTTCAAATTCAAATCTTGAAGTTTACAATTTTGGCCAATAGCGATAAGACCTTGATCTCCAATATAGCAACCCTGAGAAACCAGACGTTTTTTACATCAAGCAATCCAACAGAATAAACGCATCATCTCCAATTGAAGCAAGTTATCTAAAAAGGATAAACATTATTAAATTAAATAGAAATATTTAACAATATATTCACCTCAGAACTAATTTCTGGTGCTGTCCATAACAGAAGGAAAAAGAAAATAATTAATCTTTTTATACTTTTTTTCACTACAAATCTATGGCCATTGAACCATTGATCAAAAACAACCATAAAAGCTATGGTTACCAACAAGATTTACACAGTAGCACAAAAGCCGTCTCAATATTATGGAAAGTTATTTTTATTTCTGTGAATAATTGTTTATAGTTGTTACGTTTTTCTTAGTATTTTTATCACTGCAGATAAAGCATGTGAGGTAGATTAAGCAGAATTTTGGTTGATTTGGCACACCACAATGTGACTTTGCAAAATAAAATTCGGAACACAGTAGCACCCAGGTAACAATTTAAATATATCCCAAACAGAAGCATTCTGACATTTAGGTCCAAAGATGAGGTGTTGGAGAATAAAAAAGTGGACCAAATTCCAAATTCATGCTACAATGACTATTAAAATTATATTCAGCAGGCACACTTGTTAGAATTGCTCCTATTATGAATGATTAGGAAATCAAAATATACACTTATTTGACCAAAAGAAAAACAGACTGCACTCCCTTCAAACAAACCACCAGAACAAGAATAGCTAATTATAGGAATAATCCATCAGCTTAAATACCATCCAAATACCAACATACAGAATAAACAGTATTATCAAAGGCATTCGATTAGCAATATCTCTATCCCAATTAGAGGAGAGATTATTTAACATTTCATATCATAAAAGTTTCAAACAATTTAAAATCACTTTGGATTATAGCAGATAATAGTTTGAGGAACAAATTATAATAAACTAATAACCATACTTGAAGCAACCAGGGTCTTCAGAAGTAGCAGAAAACAACCATTAAGGAACGTTATTTTTCTTTAACACTCATAACAGTCTGCATGATGAAACATGGACGCCTAGTTTTATTGAGTAGTATTATTCAGTTTATTATTTTACTTTATTTATGTTGTCCTCATTTAACAATGTCATAACTGCCAAATATATCAATGCTTAGAAAATGGGTCACTAATGATTAAATTAACAAGTGCTACAAAATAAAATTGAGATGAACAATTTGACTTATTTTGAAGAACCACAAAAAAAATATTAGAGAGATAAGGAGCTGATGGGGACATCAGATCGTGGAGAGTCTATCAGAGCCGTGGCCGTCGATCTACGGCCACGATTGAGTCATTGTATTTCTGAGTTTTTTTATGAATTTTCATATTTATGACGTCATATGAAGGTCTTGATTTCAACTCACCGAATCCACTCATACAGCAGTCTTGTGTGACCCCACCTTGTGATAACCCAAACCTACCTCCACTATCAAATATACCCAAATCACCCATGGCAGAAAAGGTAGACGCGGTCCTAAGTGATGATATCATCTCCACAAGGGAGGGTGGACGAAGGATGTACTTAATCAGGTGGAAAGGAAAGCCCGAGTCAGATGACACATGATTGGATCGCAAGGAGCTGCAGTAGATTGACCCCGATGCATTAGAGATCTACGAGAGTACCCGAGATGCGTACTCGACGGAGTCGAGCTTTCTCCCGCCCCAGGAGAATGATGGGGACATCAGATTGTTGATAGTCTATCAGAGACGTGATCGTCGATCTACGGCCACGATTGAGTCATTGTATTTCTGAGTTGTTTTATGTATTTTCTTATTTATGACGTCATATTGTATTTGCTTTATTAGATTCCTGTTATACCTTTTTATTAAGGGAGGTCGTATGTAAGCCCTAAGGGCATTGTCGTCCTTTTATTTTTTTGAGTCTTTATACGAGACTATTTATAGCCTTAATATTCTTCTTTTGAGATTAATGAAAGATTGATTAAAATATTTTTCCCCTTGCATGAGTTCTTGTGAGAGCTTGAGAAATCGGTGAGAGATCCCTAGGAGAGGGAGAATTGCGCATCACCCACCAACCTAGATGAGTCGGGTTCGTGGTTCTTTTTTTTCCTATCTCTTCCTTTCTCCTCCCACCACCACCGGCCACATCACACCCAAAGCTTTCTCCCTTCCCATACCCGAGCCCCTCCAACCCGCCGGCCATAGATGCCCTCTTCCCATTGCTTTCCATTACCTAATTTGGATTGACATAATTTGGACAATTTTGGAATTCAAATTCATTCAATTTAAAATTTAAAATCTTTCCTAAATTATTAAATCTATTTTAAGAAAGTTCCTAAATTAATCTATTTGAATTTCAAATTCAAATTGGATTTAATTAAATTATTTCCTAATCCCCAAAACCCAAATTAAGAAGCTTGATTTCCTCCCATTATTAAGCCCAATTAATCCCCATAGCCGCCGGCCCCATTAGGAGAGAATTGGGGATTTATTTCCTAAAGCTACATCTTCTCTCTTGGAAAGATTTTCAAAATTTCTCCACCCCTCCTTGGCAGAATTTTCCAAAGCCCATAACTCATAATTTAAACCAAACAATTGATTTAGGAAATAAATCCCTCATTCACATCCCTCGTTATGCCGCCACCCCTCTCTCTCTACTCGCCCCTCTCTCTCTCCAATCTCCTCTCTCTACATTAGCACCTCTTTCCCCTCTAGGAATTAAATTCAAACTTAATTCCTAAATCCCTCCCAATTAGAAATCTGAAATTTATTTCAAATTTTTAATTTGTTCTTCCTTCTTAAACTACTTCTCCTCTCCCAAATCCTCCTCCCGTGGCCGGCCATACTTCATCATCTCCGTTTCAAGTTAAGAGGAATTTCTCTCTCTAAAAGGAGTTGCAAGGTTACTAGAGATATTTGGAGGCGACCGTCATCTAGCATTCATGAATGGCCGATTTGGAACTTGATTACGACCTCTCCTACAACGAGCAAGGATTTAGTTGCATCTTACACTCGACCTTCTTCGACATCAACCCACGCATCGACCACATCATAGAAGAGTACGTAGAGCGCATCTTGGATGCCTTGGTCGAGGCTATTGAAGAGCAACTTGGAACCGTCGAGTGGAGGATTACAACCGATCCTTGATGAAGGTTTTCTAATCTCCCTCTTCTTGTATTTCTTAAAGTCTAATCCCTTCCTTGTGATTTGATGTTAGTCATGAAGATCGTGTTTGCCTAATTCTGCCAAGCTTAGTAAACATAGGGAATTGAGTGCACTTCATTTGTTTCTAATCTAATTGTTAGATTAGGGATTTTCATTGAAAACTATTATATTTGCATGATATTGATTTCCTATGTTATTTTGATGATTCAAAGCTCTTGATGTGCAACTTGTCCTAAACGAATGTGACCGCTCTTACGTTTTGTTTTATCGTTTTATTTGCTAATAGTTCTATTTGTTATTGCTCTAATCAATAAGTTGTGCAAACTTTTTTCATAGTTACTTCAAGCATTGTAGTCCTACATCAGGAACAATCATCTCTCTTATGTGCAAGTGAAATAGAAACATTACCACTAAATATGCTTGATTTGCATAATATTTTTCAAGTGTCAATACTTAAAAAACGGGTCACTAATGATTAAATTAATGAGTACCACAAAATGAAATTGAGGTGGAGAACAATTTAACTTATTTTGAAGAGCCAGAAAAAATCAAAAAAAAATATTAGAAATATTAGATTATAACATTAGAGAGCTCAGGAACAAACATCTCTCTTATGTGCAAGTGAAATAGAATCATACATCCAAAAAAAATGCAACATGGGAAAAAGAGGGAGATATGAAATAGAAGTTTTCCTACTTGTTTGACTAATTATGAAATATGTAAATTTTCAGGAAAATTTTTAATACACAGGGAAGAATTATAATATTAAATTTTTTGAAAAAATAACAATTAAAGTCAAATAGTGAAATATAAATGTACAAACTAGCATTACCACTAGATATGTATGATTTGCATAATATTTTTCATGTATCAATGTTTAGAAAATGGGTCACTAATGGTCAAATGAACAAGTGCCACAAAATGAAATTGAGCAGGGGAACAATTTGATTTACTTTGAAGAACTAGAAAAAATTATTAGACTATAATATCAAAGAGCTACAGAACAAGCATCTCTCCTATGTGCAAGAGAAATAGAAACATACAAACTAGCATTATCACTAGATATGTCTAATTTACATAATATCTTTCATGTATCAATGCCGAATATTGGCAGCCACTAATGATTAAATTAATGAGTGCCACAAAATGAAATTAAGATGGAGAACAATTTGACTTATTTTGAAGAACCAGAAAAAAATATTGGAGAGCTAAAGAACAAATACCACTCTTATGTACAAGTGAAATAGAAGCATAGATCCAAAAAAAATACAACACTGGAAAAGGAGGATATGAAATAGAAATTTTCTCACTTGTTTGAGTAGTTATGAAAGAAGCAAATTTTGAGGACAAAACTCTAATACACAAAGAAGAATTAGAATATTAAAAAAATGAAAAAATAACAATTAAAGTCCTAAAATTTTCATGCGCCATTTTTTCACACCTCACTAAGATGATTAAAGCTATTTTTATAAAACCTTATATTTTATTAGTATCATTTTGATAAATATAAGAGTATATATAAATATCATCATATTAGCTCATAAAGTTAATTTAATATTAAAATTTTTCATTCTAAATTTAGATTAAGTTTTATTGTTTATAGAATTAAATCAATTAATCTATTGTTCATATTAGTATTGTCCCAGCCCAGAACTTACAAATAGAATTTCAAGATTTCACACTAAAACTACATGCAACGATTATGATGGAATTGGAGGGCGGCGAAATTTTTGATGTAAGAATATTAGTGATAACAATATAAGCACTTATAAAATCTTATATAATAATTAACCTAATTTTAATACTAAAAATAAAATAAAAATAAAAAAACCTAAGCTTTAATACCCTCATTTCACATCCTGTAATCGCCTAGCCATGAAACAGAGAGCTAGCGCAGAGAGCAGGCTGAAGGGGAAACAAAGGAGAAAGTAAGTGAAGCTAGGATTTTTTTCAAAACATTTATTTTTCCATATTACTCTCCAACCCAACTCAACGACATCGACCTAAAGTAATAGGCTTTATGTATGAGATGTTCTTTTGAGGTTATTATTTGCTAGAACTAAGTTGTGAGTTGGGAAATTTTACAGTTGCAAAAAAGTTTCAATTCATAGATTATTTATAAAAACACAATTTTGAGGTAATCATAATGAGGAAGTGTATCCTATGGCTAATTGCAAGTTGGGTAAAAAAATTAATTTCTAATTCAAGGAGCAAATTTATCTTAATCAATTGTATGTAAATTTTACAAGTTAGACACTATGCATTAAAAGAAATTTCATATTACAAAGTGCACATTTATAATCTACCAATTAGGATTACATAATTACACGCCATTTTCAATTATGAAAAATGGAATTTGAAGCATTAGTACTATGTTTATATTTTATTAAAATGCTATATTTTTAAAAGTAGGATAATCAACACTTATAAGCTTCAAATGAATGCCCATAATTGAAGGGCATGGTAAAATTAATTTTTATATGCATTCAAATGTTCAGCAATGAAAATAAAATTAACTTAAGAAATATCAAGTTATGTAGAGTACGTTGGCAATGATATTTTTATGAGAACCTATACGGATAAGATGACAAAGGTGAGCTCAAATGAAGACAAAATGATCCTCAAGCTGATATGTTTATAATGATTTGTATAAATAAAGCAACAAATGTAAGCCCATATAGAGGAAAAAAAGCCTTCAAATTGACATGTTTATAATGACATATACAGATAAAGTGGCAAAAATAAGCTCACATGAAAGCAAAAAAAGGATCCTCAAATTAGCTTCAAGTTAAACTGAACGCACAATTTTAATCAAAATTCGGTTAATAGCTAAAAGCTAACAGCTTGCACTTTTTTACAAATTTATATAGAATTGAAAATACATAATAGAAGTTTTAAAATTAGATCTCTTCATTTCTGTCATTTGAAAAAAATAAACGTCCTTGAACTTGAACCTAAAACATTAAGCACAAAAACTGAACGATTTAAAATGTTATTAGAGCTACATTACAGCTAGATTACTTCAACTGGTTATACCTTTACGAAAAAATAAAAAACTGAAGTCGCATAATGACATAAAAATTACCTGTAGATCAAGGGATTTTAGAAACTTGCAATTCTCAGCTATACTATTCAATCCTGATGATGTGAGATTTGGACACCATATTAGGCATAGATTTTGGAGTGCCTTACAACCATTGGCAAGAGAAGACAAGCCGACATCAGTAAGACAGAACTGCTCATACTCACTCTCTCCAGCCACACTACTCTTTATGAGATGATGGTCACCTGAAGATGAATTGAGACGTCTCCTTTTCTGCATCAAAAAAATTAAGTTATCTAAATCGTGTTTGCATGGCCCTGAAGAATATTTGCAGAGGACTAGAAACCTATTTGACTATTTCTCATGTTCTCGGCGTAACTAGCAATCCGTTAAAATGTCCATCAACTTTTTTTTCAAGATTTAAATTTCATACACAAGTTTATTATTCTTATCCGAAGTTGGGTGTAGTTTAACTCTACAACACTCACGAATTACTTACAGGAAGATAGAAATTGTGATAAAAAAAGTATGTTTTAACATGAAATCAAACCGTAAACTATGTAAAAGTGAGAAACATTTTCCAGCAAAGAGGCAATCAGTCCCAAAAACATGTATGAGCTTATCAGCACAACACAATAAGCGCCAAGAAAATAATCTCTTCGTAACATCTAAATCAAAGAACGGCATAGCAGCTCAATGGCAAGGCAAGGAAAGGTTTGATATGAAGGATTTTTGCAACTAATATGTGATTTGGAAAATTTTGATTTATGAAAACAAGCTTAATTATCTACAAAAAAGACAAAAATAAAAATAATGCCAACTCTTATCATTGATTTGAGAAGGATCTAGATTGGATATGGAAAATCAAACCAAATGAATTAATGAGACTTTCTGAAATCCTAAATTTTAAAATCTTGAAATTCAGAACAAGAAGAGAGGAAGTATAAAACAGGAGCATACAAGACTGAATGTTATTCCTTTATTAAGTGTAAAAATAAAATGAAAAGTTGTACATAAATAGATAAAGAAATAACTATCAATGATATAAACAAATATGAAAACCAATCTTTAATGTTGGTACTAAGAATTAACTATTCAACAGAAATGGAACGTTGTTGTCTATAGATTACTAGATTTGTAGATGAAAAGTTGTTGTTCGTGGTATGGTAGATTGATGTAGATGGAGAGTTGTTATACACAAATTATTGAATTGTTGCAAATGGTAAAACTCTGAATTTATCTATTCAGTCATTTAGTTGGATGTAATAAGAAATCAATACTGATTTCAACTCTAAAAGCACCTTCAAAAACTATACTATTATCAGAAAGTCGCTTGAAATTGCACCCATAAAAAAACAACCAGTCAAATTATCATAATTTTAAATTTCCATCTTAGAAAATTAATGTTTTTTCAAATTTAAAATCATCTTATGCTAAACAGATTTTCTACTTAACACAGAGTTCAGATATGCTCTCATATATTGCCATTTGGCACGAACTTGCCTGTCAGATTTTTCATTTGCATCTTATCTTATTATCATTTCATCAATGTTAAAGTTTATGTATACTCTAATGTATTAGGGCAAACTGTTTGGCTTCACTTGGCACAAAACAGCCCAAGTCTACTACTAATTAACATGTGTCAACATATTGAGTTTCTGCAATATATATACTCGAATGATGCAATAATGCTCTTCAATGCAAAGCCAGACGCAAGCAGAAAAACAAAACAAAAAAATGGACCAACAAATGAAGTTAAGCATACAACCAAACACAAAAAAAATCATTATAAGGACTAATTTGGTTATGTTTGAAATTATAGAACACTACAAACACATTCAAATCTGTCAAAAGTGACATTTCATTTTTCAAATTCAAATGAGTGTAAACAATAACAGCATTTCCTAAAATATGATTTCCGCTAAAAGTAACCAAATGAGCCCTAAATGACCTCAGTATCATAATTAATCTATCAAACTCTCACTCTCAGTTGCGGCAGCTCAAAATAAAAAAACACCATATGCTCCATAACCCTTCAAACACTTATGCGGCGCAGTTCCATCTTTTTTGTAGGGCGTACAGAATGTCTACCTTCCAATCTATGACAATTTCATGTCAAAGGTCAAAGACGCTTCTTTTCCTGAAAATTCATAGAAAAAGGAGAATAGTTACCGAACGAGGGCGCGAGGGATAGGGAAGAATTTGGTGCACGGAAGACACGGGAAGTCGCTCATCGATGCAGACATTGCGGAGGCCGGAAAAACGGCGGACGAGCAGGGAAACGACCTCGTCAGCGCGACCAGAGCCGCCGATCCGGATTGTTGCGCGGAAGCTGCGATCGATGGCGAGCCACCGGCTGCACACAAGAGAGAATGCATCGCAGTCGGATTTGGAGCCGGCGAGGCGGAGGAAGATGCAGGCGACAATATCCGCCGGGAGCTTCGTGTTAATCAGATCGGCTCCCCTCATGAAGAAATATGGAGTTCTTCGGAGACAGTGGGTGGAGCGGCGGAGGAGAATTTGAGATAGAGGTCATGCGAGCTCGGACCATTTCGATTGTATTATGTTTTTATTTCTGCGAGTCCAATCTTCCCGATCCTACTCCTCAGAGATTAATAAATAAATAAAATTTAATGGGCAGTAGTTCAAAAGACTCGAGCTACCTCATTTGATCTTTTCATTTATTTTTCATTTTTGGATTTTACTGCTCACTTTCTCTTTAGTTTGACATTCCATACACTTCATTGCAAACATGTGTAATCTTTTAACATTTCAGACTATGCAAAAGTTCATCATCCAACAACAAGACCTTGCTTCTCTTTTGATGCACTTTTGTTGTGCATTCATTGGTATCGACCATGTATCAACATCTTTAATTTTCAAAACTAAGTTGTATGGTTTTAAAATTTATAAGTTGTTTTCGTTCATTTTGTCCTCATTTTAATTGCGCTTTTGTTACGCTTTCATGATATCTCAGTTTTGAAAGCTATGTTACATGGTGTTTGCTCAGGAAAAGCAAAATAATCGCTTCAGGCACAAACCTCGCTTATGCAAGCTTAGTGTTCCATTTTCCTTGAGGTAGATTGAATTTTAAGTTAACCAGATTTTCTTGAGGGTAGTGTCAGGATTTATTTCTAAGCTTTTCCAAACCTTTACAATTGCATGATCCAACCTTTGCAACTGCAAGCTACGAGCACATGCAAACAAGTAGACAAAAGCTAGCATATGATAAATTAAAAAAAAAAACTAATGCTAACCGAGCAAAACAAACAAGTAAAGCTACTAAATTAGAATAACTACAAGAACTATTATGAGTATAAAATAATAACTACACTATTGAAAGCTAGAGTAGAAAATAACTGCTGACTAGTAAGTGTCAAAACAACAATAACTACAGGCTAATGAGTGTCAAACTAGTAAACAAGATTATAAACCAGTGTATATACAATACCAATCTACCAACAAATAACCCCATGCCACTTCTAAGTAAAGTAGTAAGTCTCATAGATTAGGAAAATAATTCTAAAGCCCCATTCACATAGAATATGGGGCAACTTAGCCTATAGGATTAGGTTGTAAGACCAGCTTCCTGTCCACTTTCAATGAAATAAGTAAGTCTGACTTTTAAGGAAAAATGTTTATATAATAACATAATCCTAAACCCCTCTAACAGATATCCTAGTTTATAGGGCTAACTTGTAAACCCCAATATACGGGTCATTTAGCCTACAGAGCTAGGTCGTAAGATCGATTGTAGGCAATTTCTAAATCTAGAAGCAATAAGACATATTTATCTGAACCAAATCATTGGGCATCTTAGCCTATAGGACTAAGTTATAAGACTCATAATATGAGCCACCTCTAATTGAGGCAGTAAGACTCATTAGTAGGGCTACTTTCAAAGGAAAGTCATAAGCCCTTGCCTAAATACAATCACATGGATAACTCCAACATGGAGTTGTAAGTCCCAACCCAAACCTAAATTACGAGCAACTCCTAAATGGGGCCATAAGACCCAATTCTAAATTTAAATTATAGGCAACTTCTAAATTAAGCTATAAATCCCTACCCAAACTAAATAATGAATATATATACACTTCAGTTTATTTGGGATCCCTAAGAAGAGGCAACTTATAGTTGCTAATCATATTCCATGGGCACTAAAATTAATGGTTACTAGTGTTGATAGAATAAAACCCTCGGTATTTTCAGAATGACGAAACCATAAGATCTTAATCGGGTTTACCTTTATCCCCCATAACTAGGGTTTGGAACATTCACACATTGTTGCACACACCTATGCATTTTTGTCATTAATTAAATATATTTTATCCTTAATTGAGAGTACTATTCTATGCGTTAGGAGGGGTCGGGTAATTAACTATGAGCACTTGCGCTCATTAGAAGTAGAACCTTCTGATAAAAACCCACCCCTAACAAAATATTATGTGAATGATTATTAACCTTGACAAAAGGTGTGAAAATTAAATTATATTTATTAAATCTATATAGTTACTGTCAAAAATCAATACATCTCTAAAATAGTCAAAATCTCTCCTACACATCCCATCAACCAAAATTTTTTTTAATAATATATCGAATTCATCAATTCCAACATCCCATGCAAACATTTTGTCATTAACTTGATGATCTTTGGATAATTGAATCAAAAAGTTAATGTCCTCAAATTCAATATTTACACTTTCCTCTTCTTGAATAAAGTTATATGCATTCCTCATAAAGAATCCAACATTCTCGATACCCCCTACTCATCTGCAAGGTATGGGCATAATTGTAGTAAGCCTCGTATGTCTCTTTCTCATCCTTATATACACAGCGAAGGAAAAGTACAACGAATACGGTGTAAAAACACAATGAAAGTTGAGTAAAAGTACAGTAAAAGCACAGCAGCAAAAGCATAATAAATGCACAATTTTATTGCGTTTCATTAATTGCATATTTACTACACTTGTATTGCGCTTGTACTGAGCTTTGATGCGCTTTTTCTGCGCAGCTAAAACCCAGTAGAGTACTGCGCTTTATTTTAGCATGGGTATAATATCCACACATCATAACCCGTGTAAAAAATTAAAAATTTTTGGGAAACTCTTATAACAACTTGGGATGAATTAGAAATTTATCGAAATGTTGAAACTTGCAACAGCTCCAACCAAATTAACTTCCGATTCCTGGATATATGTATACCTCCTTTCAACCTCTGCATCCTATGAGCATGCCATCCTTGCAAAGAATGCAATGTTCTCCTCAATCTCCACCGGTTATTTCTCATTTTTCTCTCTCACTAGGTATTATCAGTTTCGCAAAAGTCCTAAATATTTGGATTTGAGATCTTTCACAAGATATTTCTTAAAATGGAGCACCAACCCTAAACCCCTTTTCCAAAAATAAAAAACTCTGGATTAGGTAGGGTCGGTCGGGCTAACAAGATAAAAATAAAAAATGAAATCCAATTAAATATCTGTGTGTCTAATCCACGTGTCAAGATTTAATTGGAGTTCCAACAGAGCTATGTTCGAACTCTGCACCAAATAACTTCTCCATCTTGTGAGGGTGAAATGACAGGGTGTTTGTATGGAGATTTGTGACTTAAAAATCTATATAATTATTATAAATAGGATTTTTTATTCTTCTCAAATATTATTTTTTGCATTCATTTATTTTTTTCTGATAAAATATTAACTATTTATTTTATGAGTATCCTACTATAAATATTAAATATAAAATTATTATTCTAATAAATAAATCAAAACAACAACAACTGCATGCTAGTGAGCGTTAAACTAGTAAATAAGACTGTATATACAGTACCAATCTACCAACAAATAACCCCATGCCACTTCTAAGTAGTAAGTCTCATACATTAGGAAAAGAGTTCTAATGCCTATTCACATAGAATATGGGGCAACTTAGCCTATAGGGATAGGTTGTAAGACTCGCTTCCCAGCCACTTTCAATGAAAGTTGTAAGTCTGATTTTTAAGGAAAATGTTTATGTAATAACATAATCCTAGACCCCTCTAACGGATATCCTAGTCTATAAGGCTAACTTGTAAACCCCACTATACGAGTCATTTAGCCTACAGGGCTAGGTCATAAGACCGATTGTAGGCAATTTCTAAATCTAGAAGCAATAAGGCATATCTATTTGAACCAAACCATTGGCATCTTAGCCTATAGGACTAAGTTGTAAGACTCATTATATGAGCCACCTCTAATCTAGACCGTAAGACTCTTCAATATGGCTACTTTCAAAGGAACGTCGTAAACCCCTGCCCAAATACAATCACATGGGTAACTCCAAAATAGGTTTGTAAAACCCAACCCAAACCTAAACTACGGACAACTCCTGAATGGGACCATAAGATCGAATTCTAAATTTAAACTATAAAAAACTTCTAAATTGAGTCATAAGTCCCTACCCAAACTAAATAATGAATATATATGCACTTCAGTTTATTTAGGATCCCTAAGAAGAGGCAACCCATAGTTGTTAATCATATTCCCTAGACACTACAATCAATAGTCACTAGTGTTGGTAGAATGAAACCTACGATATTTTTAGAATGACGGAACCATGGGATCTTAATCGGGTTTACCTTTATCCCTCACAATTAGGGTTTATAATATTCACACATTGTTACACACCTCTGCATTTTTTGTCACTAATTAAATATATTTTATCCCTAATTGAGAGTGTTATTCTACACGTTATGAGGGGTAATTAATTATATGGGCTTGCGCTCATAAGAAGTAGAACCTCCTAATAAAAAGCCACTCTAACAAAATATTTTGTGAATGATTATTAACCTTTACAATTGGTGTGCAAATTAAATTATATTTATTAGGTCTATATAGTTACTATAAAAAATCATCACATCTCTAAAATAGTCAAAATCTATCTTACACATCCCATCAACAAAAAAAAAAAAAATCAAATTCATCAATTTCGATATCCCATGCAAACATTATGTCATTAATTTGACTATCTTTAGATAATTGAATCAAAGAATTAATGTCCTCAAATTCAATATCTACTCTTTCCACTTCTTGAATAAAGTTATATGTATTCCTCATAGAAATCCAACATTCTCGATACCCCCAACTTCATTTGCAAGGTATTGGCATAATTGCAGTAAGCATTGTATGTCTCTTACTCATCCTTATACACACACTAATAATATGAAGTAAAAGTACAATGAATACGATGTAAAAGCACAATGAAAGTAGAGTGAAATTACAGTAAAAGCACATCAGCAAAAGCATAGTAAATGCACAATTTTTACTATGTTTCATTACATATTTACTGCACTTGTATTGCGCTTGTTTTGAGCTTTGATGCCTTTTTTCTACGCATCTAAAACCCAGTCGAGTACTGCGCTTTATTTTAGCATGGGCATAATATCCACACAACATAGCCCGTGTAAAAAATTAAAAAAAATTTTGAAACCCTTATAACAACTTGGGATGAATTAAAAATTTACCAAAATGTTGAAACTTGTAATAGCTCCAACTTGAATCTCCCAAATGAAGCCTATATTTTCGAATTGCCTATATTTTGGGCAGTTTCTCTTGGATATCATCATAGAAGAAATTATTTGTAGATTCAATAGTTTGTTGAATATCTCACTCTCTATTATAAAATAAGCCAACCATTTATTGAAATATGCAATGAGTCAAACATATCTTATCATCCACATTAGTGACTGCAAATAAATTAGGCCAACCATTTAAGAAATCTACAATGACTAAAACATATCTTACCATCTCTATTAGTGAATGCAATTATCTTTCTATCATTACAAGCAAATGACTAATTATGTTTGTTAATGCAAAAATTCATCCAACCAAATTGAACTATATTAGTCTCTATTGAATAAGTATAAGCCTCCCTTATTCAATCAATAGTCTTCTCACACTATCATTTCAAGTTTTAAAATATCATCCGTCTCTCTACAACGTTCTTTCTCTTAATTGATTAAATTTTCATATTAACTCTTTTGGTTAAAAAAGTACTTTTTATAATTTATTAGTTATAAAGTTTATGATATTTAATGCAAAATAAAAATATTATACAAACAAATAAAAAAAATTAAAGAAAAAAGATATTAAAAGGGTCAATTTTAGATCCAAAATGGGTTTATAGGTCAATCCGAACGCAACACATTTATTAAATGGGTCTAAAAACCCAACTCAAACCCAAGCCATTTATCAAGCGGGTCAACTCGGACTTGAATTTTTTTTGGGTCGGGTTCAATTATTGACACTCATAGTTGTAAGCATTTGCTATGTCATTTTTCATTAACTTTGCTCATTTTGCTTCATTTTATCATTAGAAGCTTCCTTGTTATCATATTTGCCATTCACTTTATGTTCTTCAAGCTTGTTCTCCACTTTATTTACTTCATTTTTATGCTTTTACTAGGGGTGTCAATTTTGGGTCACGGGTCGGATTTGGGTCGGACCCGAAACTGACCTGGGTTCAAACGGGTCGACACTAACCCGACACGGTTAGGTAAACGGGTCGGAAATGCGAACGCGCACTAGACCCGACGGGTTGCCGGGTAAACGGGTCGGGTTAGCCCGAACTCGGGGCGTGGTCGCGCGGCAGCAGGGCGGGCGCAGGGGTTCAAATGGGTTTCCGGATTGACCCGTCAACCCGTCGGGTCAACCCGAACCCAACCCTTTTTCAAACGGGTCGAATCTGGGAACCCGAACCCGACCCGTTTTGAAAACGGGTCGAGTCTAACCCGAAAATTATGGGTCGGATTTTCGTGCCGTGTCAAATATTATTATGGCCAAGCTTCTTTTACCCTTGTTTGAAGTTGGCATGAAATTATTATGTCTATTTTATTCTTATTAGTATGCATTTATTATGTTTTTATAACAATTTGTAGAGGTTTCCACATCAAAGGCTAGCAAACTTGGTCATGCAAAATGTCGCTTCATTGCAAATGAAAACTATCACTTCAAAGAAGCTTGGCCATTTAGGCTATTAAAATAGTCTCATGTGACTATTTTAATTCTTCTTTAAGGAGCTAGGGATCAAAATGATATTTTAATATAGTTGAGGACTATTTTGATCTTTCATAAAGAGTCAAGAGACCATCTTGACTTTTTTTCTCTTTAAAAAAATAATTAACTTTTAATGGTTTGACTCGACAATTTAATATCGACTTGACTTAAAAAATTTGGACTTAGGTTGACACGAATGATATAAGGCATATAATATTTACATGTTATTGCATAAACTTCTTTGTTTATAATTTATATGTTATCTAAGTTATTGAGATTGTATTAACCTTTAAAGTGATTATTCTATCTAATTAATACACTCTCTTTCCTACCAAAAGTTATAGATTCCCCACCTCTTCATTACTATTTTTTCATGTATTTTAAAATATCAAAGTGCTTAATATTTTTTTGTCAAAACTTAATAATGATTTTTTTAAAATAATAAAAATGTAATTATTATGGCAAACAATTTTGGGTCTACAATAGACTTGATTCAAGTAAATTTTATTAATTTAAATAAAAAATTAATCACCATGTTTGTTAATATATTCAAAATTAATTTATAAATGTGTATGATTAAACTTATTTTTTTATTTATATTTTAATTCAATTACTCATTATCTATATTCTTAAGCAATAAATTGATTGTTTTCAATTATTTTTTGAGTTTTTTTAATTCTAACTCTATGCTTGGAGCAACTGCATGATAACTTGAATCTTTATATCTCTGTGCTTTTAAAAAATTAAAATTATCCAAAAATATTTATTAACTATTGTTTTACAATTTTAAGACAATTTTTACAATTTTTCACTATTTTTAACTTTATTATGATTAATTTAATATTCTTATAGAAAACATAGATTAAGTAATTTGAGTTTAAGTTTTTATAATATTATTTTATAATTTTAAATTTTGTTCACATGCATTTAGTGTATGTAAGATAATGTCTTCATTTGAGACGACTTTCTTACTACCGCTTAAAGCAGCTTTTTAGAACAAAAATATAATTTTATTCTTAAATCCTGAGCACTTATGGAATCTCATTGGGGCTTATCCCATCTTACCTCCATACTCAACATTACCGGCGGCAGCCTCAAACTCCAATACAGCGCAGCCTTCTCTTCTCTCCGGTATCTTTCTACAACGAAACTTCGAAGCTCTCTCTCTCTCTCTCTCTGCTGTAAGCAGCAAGTACGCCATCTTCTCCCCCGCATCATCTCGGAGATGAAGCCAACCAATCACGTCTACCCCATCCTCGTCTTCCTCCCCCTCATCATCTTCCTTCCGCCATTCGTCCTCTCCCAAAACTCCACCCCTACCCGCTGCCCCCTCGACTTCTCCATCGCTAAACCCTACGTATCCGCCGCCGCCTCCTCCCCACCCTCCGACCTCTGCGGCTTCTCTCTCCAAATCCTCCACCTCGTCGAATCCCACTACCTCCTCACCTCCAATCTCTTCGTCCCCCCTTCTTCCTCCGCCTCCTCCTGCTGGTCTGATCTCTCCTCCCTTCTTTCCCCCTTCTCCATCTCGCTCCCTTCCTCCTGCAACTTATCCGTCCCCTCCATCTCTCTCCCCTGCATGAACCTCACCTCCCGCGCCGCTTTCACTGCCTTGCTCCCTTCCCATGCCCTCACCGATCTCAACTCCTCCTGCGACAGGCCGCTCTCGTCTTCCTCCTCCTGCACTTCCTGCACCACCACAATTAACCGTGTCAAAGCCTCTTACCTAGTTGGACCGGATGTCTCCAATGCCACTGATTGCTCTGATTACCCTTTCATCTATGCGGCGGCCGCAGCCAATCGCTTCGGTCCAAGTGATTCCTCCACTGCTTATTGTCTCTTTCTTCTTCAAATTTCATCACCATCCTCCTCTTCTGGTGGAGGCTCTGCTCTTCCCGCCGGAATTGCAGCAGCTGCGGCTGCCCTAATTGCCATCGTAGCGTTTGTCGCATGGTATTTTATCCGCCGGCGACGGCGGCGGCGGAGGAAAAGGTGGAGCCAAACTCCTGCGAGATCTGATCCGCTGATCGGCAGCAGCACAACTCTGATCAAGTTTAGCTTCGAGGAGATTCGCACGGCGACTAGAAATTTTTCTAGAGAGAATATGATTGGGAGGGGAGGATATGGGAATGTATACAAAGGTGTTCTCAAGGATGGGAGTGAGGTTGCTGTCAAGCGTTTCAAGAATTGCTCTGCCGCTGGGGATGCGAGCTTTGTGCATGAGTTGGAGGTGATTTCGAGCGTTCGTCATGTGAACCTGGTGGGTCTTAGAGGGTACTGCACGGCGACTACATCTATGGAGGGCCATCAGAGGATTATTGTCTGTGATTTGATTGCAAATGGGAGCCTTCATGATCATCTTTTTGGTTCTGGAGTGAAGAAATTGAGCTGGCCGGCGAGGCAGAAGATTGCAGTGGGGACGGCGAGGGGGCTGGCTTATTTGCATTGCGGTGCACGGCCGACGATCATTCACAGAGACATAAAGGCTAGTAATATTCTAGTTGATGAGAGATTTGAGGCCAAGGTGGCTGATTTTGGCCTTGCTAAGTTCGCACCTGAAGGCATGTCTCATGTGAGTACCAGAGTTGCTGGAACTTTGGGCTATGTTGCTCCTGAATATGCTCTTTTTGGGCAGTTAACTGAGAAAAGTGATGTTTTTAGCTATGGAGTTGTGATGCTTGAGCTTTTGAGTGGAAAGAAGGCATTTAGAACAAGTGAAGATGGACAGAATTGGCTTGTGACTGACTGGGCTTGGTCCCTGGTTAGAGAAGGGAGAGCGTTGGATGTAATTGAGGAAGGTATGGAGGAATTGGGGCCTAATGAGGCATTGGAGAGGTATGTGCTTGTTGCAGTGCTGTGTTCACATCCACAGCTTCATGCGAGGCCGACTATGGATCAGGTTTTGAAGATTTTAGATAGTGATTTGACAGTGCCGCCGATCCCTGACCGCCCTATATCTATCATAGCAAATAAGGAGGAGATTGAGAAGTCAATGAGCAGCAGCAGCTCAGGCCAACTTTTCTCTCCTCCTGGATACAACCAATATATTCAGAATATGGATGGAACTCCTCACCAAGGTTCTGAGGTTTTGTGATGCTTTCTTTCTGAGTTTTGTGACCTTATCATGAGGTTTTCTTTTAGTTCCAATGCATATACATTTGTTAAATTTGTATGTATATTACTAAATAGAATGAGCCTCTAAGTTTGGCAATCAATTCATTGATTGTATTGATGAATTTGACTGTAATTCATTTTTTGTGAAATGATGTTTTAAAAAAATTATTATTATTATTTTTATTTAATCCTGGTAAGTCAATATTATGTTGCATGTTGGGCTGTATTATAACTTAGCATTGCTTTCTTAATTGTAAATGCATGCATTGCAGTACACAGAGAAGGAAAACTCTTGACTTATGATATCCTTATTTAACTTCCCTTTAGAGAAACACATTTAGCTTAGCTAGTCCAGTTATATGATAGTGGCATCTTTAATTTGTAGAGCAAACGGCTCACGCTTCAACATTGACTAAACAATTATTAAAGATGGTTGAAGACCATGTGCAGGACCGTACTTTATGCTACCTGTAGGCTGAGAACCTATGTGGAGAATGTATTGAGTTCTGAATTTAGGAAAAAGAGAGGGGAGAGATGAATTTAGACAAAATCTTTATTATTCAAATTAGAAATAAAAGAATGACGAAAGTAGGAGCTCTACACTATGGAGAATGAGCTATATAAGAGAAGTAATACAATGCTTTGAGGATTACTGGTCTTTTAATTTCTTTTCTCTCTTCCCCCTTTTCTTGGCATATTCTCTTTTGTGGAGATAGAAGAGTTCAAGAAGTTTTTGGAAGTGGGAAAGGATCTCTCCTCTGCCCCCACCCCCCTTTTTCCTCCCCCTTTTACAGGGTTCGAGAGGATGTAGGAGTTATGTCCCGGTACATAGGTGTCCCTGTGACGCCCCGAAATCTAGAGAGAAATTTAATCCTAATTTCTGAAACATACTAGGTTAATTATCTCACATATACATCTACACCAAAGCAACTAAGCATTAACTGTATAAAACAATCATCCAGAGTGCACAAAATATAAATTCATTCCTCAAAATAATCATATACAATAATCTAGTTTTAAAATATGATCAACAAAACAAACTATCATGGAGCTCCAAAACATAAATACCTGACAGTCTGGTAGCCCTGCTTCCTATCAACTAGATTTACTCAACAGATTCTTTACCTTTGCCTGAAATAGTATTAACAAAGGGTGATTCTAAAACTCAATAGGCTAAACCCAGTTCCCATCACTGCCTTCAATCCATAACTATAACAAGACTGAAAACAATAATGTTAAATATCAAGAGCTTTTAGACTGAGTAGTCATAAAATATTAGTTAACTGGACATGCAATTGTAAATGCAGAATGCAAATGCTTTAATGCCTCTTATAACTCTCAATCTTCCACCTCCCACCTGGTTAGCCATGTGTAGAGCAGAACCATCTCTCACTTGTTCAATATACCAATTGAAAATGGAAATGGGGTATGGGCCACCTACCTCGAGCTCGACAATTTTCTTAACTAAGCTGACAAACAAAAACAGAATTATGGACCTAAAAAACCTAGCTTTCCCTTCTCCTTCTCCTCTACCTCTCTTCCTTCTTCAAAAAGCTGAATGGGTGAGGGTTTAGGCTAATGACTTTGGATACTTATTATTTTAAAAACCACTAATTCATTGAAATGCTACCGTGCTTACATTTACAACGCCGCTGCGCTACTAGCAAAATTCTCCAAACTCTCCCCAACTATCCTTGGGGTCATTTACACTTCCTTACTAATGCTGCCAACCCAAAACACACCTCCAAACCCTCAAAAGTAGCATTTTCCCGAGCGTGGAGTGCTAGAGCGCTCGGATCCAACGCCACAGTGTTTGCAATAGAAAAAATTCAAATTTCATATATTCGCAAATCTTCAGACGCTTTAAGCCCCAATTGACTTAAGAACACTTATAATTACTGATTAAGCTTAAAAATTGGATTTTGAAATAACAAATTACCTATCTTTCGAATGACAATTGTTATAGTCCCATCAATCCATGGTAATAACTAATTTGGTGCTGAGCTGGTCGGTTACTGGAGAGCGCGAGTCATATAGAGTTGGGTAATAATCAATAGTTGCCCTGTTGAGATGGAAAAGGGCAAGTATTGTCCAACTACTATCGATGAGAGATGACAAAGCAATCTAGATCACCCTGTTGAAGTAGAAGTGCAAGTAGTGTCTGAGTGTGATATTCAGGTGTATATAACAGGAAAATCTTTGAGAGGGATGATGCATATTGGTAGCTCCTTGTCGTATCGAGCATGAAAGTCTTGGCTCTGGTTTTAGATGGATAAAGATTTGTCTGATTTAGAGAGGAATTTCTAAGGCTGGAATGCTCCCAAGGGGAGAAGACTGCCTAGAGGTTGTGGCCGGGCCTGATCCGTCGTGCTCTAGTATTAAGCTACTTTTAGCTCCTGAGCGAGTCCGTCAAACGTGTTGTTCCGAGAGCGGAGGGTATTCTCCTATTGTTTGACCCGAACATAACATGTAAGACACCTACAAATAAGTACCTGCATAGATATTCATGGGTGTACAAGGCCCACACCCTTTGCACACATTGGTTCACTTAAACCCATACATAGCCTATTCTAGGTGGGACCCACATGTCAACCAATTACCCCTTTTAGAGCATTTTTCTCTTTTTTTTTTTAATTAGCTTTGATTTATTTCACTTTAAGACTCTTGTAGGATGCTATGCATACCTTGGTCTATTGTATATAAAAGAGTCAATAATTCAAAGTGGCTTTCAACACATTATCTATTTTTTTTAGCTTTTCTACAAAAACTCTTAAAGTGCAACCTAGATAATTTTTTTCCTAAGGCTTCTGTTTTTTTTTAATCAAAACTACTTTGCCCATTGAACCAATGTTTTAAAAATTGGATCGGACCGGCCAAGTCAATCGGTTGAACCGTGAACTAGTCTGCTAGCCGGTCCAATTCATTCCCAAAATCGGCTTCGTAATGAATCGATCAAAATTGGTTTGAACTGCCAGTTTGACTGGTTAATTGGCGCAGGTTTCCAAAACTGGTTTGCTAATTTTATATAAAATAATTAATTTTTAAAATAAGTTAGTATATAATTAAATTAATTAATTTCATATAAAGTTGTGAACTTAATAAATTAATTTAAATTATTATTTTAAAATACATGTTAAATTTTATAATAAATTTTTAATTAAATAAGCACTAATTATGATATGTCACATGGCTCCATCACTCCATGTGACTTCTTTACTTACGTGAACCCAAGAAATAATATAAACGACACAAAGATATAGAGGCTAGGTGATGTGGGACTAAGAACAAAAATGAAGTTATCATGTTCACTATAATAACAACAAGAACAAGAACAACATCAAGCCTTTATCCCACTACGTGGGGTCAGCTACATGAATATGTTTTCTCTATTGTGGCTTTGGTGCCTTGTTAAGAGTCAAATTCTCATTTAAATTTAATAAAGAAATGTCATTTCTAATATTTTCTAACCAAGTTTTTTTAGGTCTAACTCTATCTTTCTTAGCATACTTCAAATTTAATACATCTACTCTCCTAACAAGGTCATGGAATGCCAACATTTTACATGACCAAACCATCTAATATGACTCTATCCAATCTTATCTGCCACTGAAGCTACTCCAACCTTTTCACATATATGCTCGTTTCATATCCTGTCTCTAAGAGTATCTGTCACTGGAGCTACTCGACGTAAGACGAGTCAAGCTCTAGCTCGTCTAGTTTGAGCTCAAGCTCAAGCTCAATATTTGGCTGTCGAGCTCGACTCGAACAACCCCTGGCTCGAGCTCGAGCTCGAGCTCAACTCGTTTGTACCCCAATTGGGCTTCATGGGGCCATCAATTCATCATTACATCTTGTATTTTGGTCATATTTCATGTCCAAATCATCATTTTTGCTAACTTATGCCCTGTCACCATCACATGGTTAAGCTTTAATATTCCTTCTCAATTATCTTAAATCAAGCTGTCAATCATGTCTCATCATATTCGTAATGATCATTGAATTGGTTGTGGGTCCACAATCAACTTAATTATTAGGATGGAACTATTAAAGGAGTTTTAAATATGTTGATTTTTTTTTATTTTTGAATTATATTTATTCATTTTACTATTTTTATAAGAGTGAATTGTTTAAAAAAGAGGGAATTATAAACAAAGGCCTTAAGGAGAATTATCTTAGCTTTTGCATCAGGCTGCAATCAACTCACGCTTGAGGGAGATATTGCTTCACTTGAGGCTTTTCTGTATTGAAGATTCTTGCAAATCAGGGTCTAACAGCAATATTGCATTTCCGAGCCATGAGCTTTTTTCATCATGAAAGATTTTGCCTTGTGAGTTTTCAAGAGTTTTTCAGGATGAATATCTTTGGCGAGTCCATGAAGGCCAATACCCTTGCTAATTTACATTAGGGGTGTCAATTCGGGTCAACGTGTAGGATTCGGGTCAAACCCGGAACTGACCCGGCACTATTCGGGTCAACCCGAACCCGGAACTGACCCGACATGTATGTAAATCCCATTAAAAATACTATAAACTTAGGCTTTGTTCGGGTAGAAATTATTCTGTGCGGTCATCAGTCCGTTTGGAGACAAATGAGAGCGCGCCACATCACCCGATACACTGCGGTACACAATACCGGTACACATAAAAAATGATATGGCGCGCTCTCATTTGTCTCCCAACGATGTCTAGTGATCGAAAGAATGATTAACTTTGTTTGGAACAACTTTCTTACTATTTTTTAAAGCAATTTTTTAGTATAATTTTTTTTTAAATTAGAAAATTTTATACTAAAAATTCATTTTATAAAATAGTAAGGAAGATCTTCCAAAAAAGCCATAATATTTTTTCTCTTTTCTCTCATCAAAACAAAAAATTATTACGTGTGGAGTCCAGACGTAAAGTTACAACCGAACTTCAATTAAAACATGACATGTATCCTTGTATACAGTGTGTATAAATTTATATACATTGTGTACATAATTTGTATATTATGCATATAAATTTGTACAAATTATATACAAAATTTTATAATTTGTATATTATATATATAACATAACAATGATATCATATTTTTATTGGGACATAACTCGACTCCTAATAAT